TGAACATGGTCATGCAGTGTATAACAATGTCTCTTATTTTCAGGGAGACTGTTCCAGACTTTAGCACAAATCTGAAACACAAGACACTTGTACACAAGCAGCGCTGCTTCAAAGTCTGTTCTCTGAGCCAAAGGGCAGAGACCTGAGATCAGGACAGTTGTGATTGTACTTCCTGGTTCTTGTCAGGAATCGAGCTGCAGCCTTTTGAATATAAAATACACCTTATAGTACTTGAAAGATTGATTCACATTATTTCTTGGTGAAAAACACTTTATTTTACTTCAAACAGTGGGCTGTTCTAAAGCCCACCAACAACAGCCCACGCACTCTGACCCGTGTGAGCTCCTGTGATGAATGTGTGCAGCTTTGCCCCTTGTGACCCACTTAAAGGAGTTTTCTTGCACTGTAGCCTTGCAATAACATCACTGACACCTTTCCTTGTAATGCTCAAAAATACATTATCATTACCATTATCTCCTCTCTTTTTTTGAGTGATCGTGTCACAGTCAAGTCTAAATATGTTTTATGTTTGGGACTGGTACTTTGTGAATTAAGTGGCAGTTCTGATTGCCACCCATTGACCCAGAAATGGAAAATAAAGGGATGACAATGAAATTTAAAATTAAATGATTATGTTTTTAATTAAAGTTTTGATAAAAAATTGCAGTATGTAAAAAATGTTAAAATAAAAAGTCAAATTGTAGTCCTTCGTTCCGGCTGAGGCAGCGCCGCCACCTCTGCTCCGTCCCCACACCTCATGGACACATGGTCTCTCCACACGGACGGCACTGCTCCTGAGTGTTCACAAACGAGGGATCTGCACTGTTTGCTGGAGGCCGGACCACGGCTCCAGGTCCTTCCGGGATTAATATTAATGCCACTTATTTTTCACCCATGCTCACATCCTTAGCCTGGCCTTAGCCATTCGTACACTCCGCTCAATCATCATTTCACTGCAAGTAACAGTGAAATGTAACAGGTCTGGTCCCTGGGTTAGCGATTACAATCGGTTGAGTTCCATCCGACCAATCAGTGAGTGCGGAAGGAAAGTGTTGTAGTTAGTTGTGGGTGATGTCAATAGTTTGCCTCGAATGGGAAGGTCATAGTTTGGCAATGGCGAAAAATGCAATGGTAAAGTATTCCGGTCTGGTTCTATCAAGAAATTTAAGCCGGAGCAAGAGGAATGTTTAGCAAATGTAATCGCAAGGAAAATTGTGGCGCTACTCCCCACGGGCTCCGTTAGCGGCAAAGGAGATGGCTAGGCTAAATGCTAAATGCTAACAACTCACTCGGGCGCACTACATACGTCACGGTAAACTCAGATCCAATCGTTTCAATCTGCAAAAGGAGTTAATCCCTCCCACCTGTAAACGGAGCTCAATGGAGCACCTCCAGACCTTAGTATGAAATGAAATTTGTACTATGGTGTGGTACGAGCAGGCTATCACATCCTACTACCTGATCAAACAGATAAGTACCATTAGAAACATCATTTCAAAGGCTAACAATTTGCATTAAATTTCAAATGTACTGCCCTAACATAACATTTAGAAGATTGTAACTAGAAGAACATCTTCAAAACGTTTCAGTTTTTTCAAATAAACAGTTTAATTTTAAAACTATGATGACGAAGGAATTAACAAAGATGTGTTTATGATTCAAGTTTAAAACTCCTGCATGAATGGCCCTTGCTTAATCTATCCTGGTGTTGCAGATGTATGCCTGCTGCTCTGTACTCATGCAGCTTCAGTTTCTTCTTACTTGATGAGTCATACTGGAAGAATTTCTTGGTTTTCTCTTCTGAATGCCACAGACAGTTGTGCTTGAAATCTTACGCACTGAGGCAGAGATAAAAAAATTATACTGATAATAATAATTTCTAAATTAATTAATGCCATCCATCCATCTTCTTCAGTAAGAGTCCACTCTCTCTTCGTCCGTTCCCTGTAGGTTCACTCGGGCTGGAGCAGCAGAGTGAAGTCTGTAGAAGCCCACCACCATCTCCTGGTCTTCCCCGTGTTGAAATGTTATGGTGCGGCTTTTTAACTATTTTGACCTGGTTTTATTTTGCTATACATTCGTTCTCTTGTAGTTTGAGTTTGCCCCGCCCTAAAGTGATTCATCTGTGTCTCCTGTGTGTATTTATACCCTGTGCTTTTGCCCACTTGTTGTGCATCCATCACAATGTTTGTTCATGGCCTGTTTTTTGTTCTGGAATTTTGAGTTTGGCCTTGGTTTATTTTTTTATTAAATTACACTTTATTTCAGTCCAGCCTTTTGGGTTGGATTCTTCTTTTAACCACATGGCATAAGGACAGCTGACACCAGGCTACAAAGTCCTGTGTTAATCCTCTGTACTCTGCGTTGTTGTCCTCAGTGTCCGATGATGGCAGAGTAAAGATGGCGCCGTGGCAGGAGCTCTGGTGTGTGCCGTCCTCTCTGTCTGGTGCACACTGGGGTAGTCTTGCACAGTTTTTCCAATGTGGTTTTACTGCAAATGGCAAATAAATGAATCTGAATCTGAGTCCTCAGAGAACTTTTGTTGGACACAACTGTTTGTGTTGTGTCTGAAGTCTGCAGTTTAGTGGGTGAAAGAGGAACGGTTCAAGGATGGTCCACACTGCAGGTTTGGACCTCAGACGTGAAGTCCCTGGCTCTCAAACTTGGGTCTGTGTGTGGTAGTCCAGGATCCACTGGGATGGGTTGTAGCCCCAGTAGGGAGAAGTCGCGACGGGCCGAAGAAGAAGTCTTTGGCCCGTGGTGTCTTGGACAGGTACCACACACGAGGTCTTCCAGACCTGTGGTACCATCCTCAGCTTGAGTCTCAGATGGTTGAAGATGTTGCCACAGAGTTCATGTGTGCAGGAGCAAAGGGGTCTGGAACTGATCCCATTCTGGTACTCTACTTGCTTTGATCTTCAACAGCTCTTATCACATTTGTGGCTCTTTGTAGCTTGAATGAATGGATCATTTCCATTCACTCTCTACAACAGAAGCGAGACACTGAACACACTGGCGAAGCCACCATCTACTCACTCTCTCAATACATTCAGTAAAGTATTTCTAGTGGAAGGGGAATCCAGTGCCTTCAGAGGAAACCTATTAGACGCAAGGATAACACGCAAACTACACAGAAAGGCCCTGTCTGTAAGTGGCATCAAAGCCAGGACCTTTTTGCCGCAAAGCACAAGCAGAAACCACTGTGCTAGAAGTCTTATCACTCCCTGTTTCCTTTCATGTTCTTTTACAGAAACTACAACTACTACAACTGTTTGTCTTGTTCATCCCCTCAGCACCCTTCTCACTTGCCTTGGTTAAGCACGCTTGCAGAAGTCTAATGTGCTGAGATCCTGTCCATCCATACAGACACATCCGTTCAACGCTCTGCACACTATAGTGAGCATATTTTGTACAGTGTCTTGCTGCAGTCTTTGCTCTGCACATTTTATTTTCTCCTCTGACTTACTATGATTCTCTCTCTGCTCTGCTTTAGCTCCAGTTTTAGCAGGAATTATGTCCACAATAATACTACTGTCACTCAAATCCTTTCACAGACTTTTGCAAAATGTGTTATTGGGTCTATCTCACAATATGACCACAGTCTACCAGTCATCTCTTTTACATGCCTTTATTATTCAGCACATCATTCCGCTCCTCCAAGAACGGCACTGGCTATCAATCTATCTCTATCGATCTATCTCTATCGATCTATCTCTATCGATCTATCTCTATCGATCAATCTCTATCTATCTATCTCTATCTATCTCTATCTATCTCAGAGGAATCACCTCCCTGACTTTTTACTTCACTGTTTAATTTAGTATTGCTTGTTTTGTTTTGTAAATGTTTTTTTATAGTTGTTAAGTGACCTTGGATGTTTAGAAAGGAACTTGTGAGTAAAATGCATTATTATTATTGTTATAGTTATTATTATGAATTAGAAAAAGATTATTCACACTGTTCAGACAAAAAAACTCTAACCCTGCCATGAACTTTTAGCTGGCTCCAAAATAAATACTTTTCTCTGCATCCATGGTGGACTGCTGAAGCTGAAGGATGGAAGAAAACTGCAGAAAAGCTGTTTCTTCCATAAGGTAATCATGCCATCTGCTGGACTCAAAATGAAGTTGCAACATCTCTCTATGATTTTGCAACATAGTCCGTGTCAGAGAGAATACTTTGATTGATGTATTTACAGTACAGTGAATACTTGCATTGTTATGTATGTCAATGTTAAATTGTCAATCAAAACCAAATTATAAGTAAGTAAGTAAGTAATCTTTATTTATATACCGCCTTTCACAGACCAGAGTCACAAAGCGGTTTACATTTGTTATTTTTGGGCATTTGTCCTCTCACTCCACACAGACATGGGAGCGGGGGGTATGTGTTTTAGTGCATGACATTCAATGTAAAACAAGCGTTAGAAACAAAATAATTGGGCTCTGGGTTTTGATTCAGTTTTCAAACAACTATGTGGTTAATTCATGTAAAAGGTTAAGCATCACTACAAGAACTGTTGAGTAGAAAAACAAAAAAACAGTCTGGGGAAAAAAGATTTATTTAGATTTTAAGAGCTCACTGTAAGTAAATACAAGTCTTGCACAATAATAGGATGCATATCATTAGGATTTGGCAAAAAAAAAAAACATGATTAGAAAAAGAAAATGTATGTATGTGGGGATTATATACCTACATTTTTGACAAACAAGCAAGCAATTGCAAGGCCATTTTCTATACTTTGTATGTTTTAAAAGTGTTATAATAACAGTTTAATAGACAAAAAATGTTGTATTGGAAAACAACTATTTAGTTAATTAGTTTAATCTTTTCTTTCTTTTTTCTTATTGTAAAAAAGAGAACAATTATGCTCACTCATCTTTTTACCCCCCAAGTGTTGTTTTCTTTCCTTTTATTCTGGTATTTTTTTTGCAAAGAACTAAAATAATGCCTTGCTTGGATTTACTCAGTACCCATGCAGCCCTAATGGGGATATGAGGCTAATATGCTTTTGTTGCGTCTGGTGTGGGGTAGACCAGGAACCCTGAGAAGCTGTTGAGGCCCTTGATGTTCCCACACAGGCTCCGCTCCTGCAGCAGCTCGGCGTACACCTGGTCCCCCTGCCTCATAGCCAGCAGCAAGGCCAGGTGGCTGCTGTCCTCCGGGTCATCCCTGTTGTCCTCCCACGTGGACACCTGCACCTCGCCGTTCTTCATCATCTGTACTTTGTGGAACAGGTGCTGTCCGGCCCACTGCATTCTGGAGTACACCGACACAGAGAAGTAGTAGACCCCTGTCACTGGGGCCGTGAACAGTCCTGCACCCACACAACAATATGGCAGTTAGATTATGGACATATTTCAATTACAGTAAGGTTCATTACAGACTGTACTGTAGCTCCAACTCAAAACATTCACACATTGGTGCACAATGGGGACTTTTGAAAATATATTCCAATGTGGTTTTACTGCAAATGGCAAGTACAATGAATCTGAATCTGAAACTGACAGACACAGATTTTATGACATTCCTACCTATACCTCTTTAGATAAATAGCAGGGACCACTTGTGATGATTTAGGCTAACCCAGAGGTCTATCTAAATAGTATGTTTTATGCTACTGTGGTATAGTATCATGTTTTTTTTTTACTTTTTTCTTTTTTCCTATTTACGATTTATAAATTATTTGGGGAGGTACATAACAGAAACTGGTGATCTTTTTAGATGAAATAGATGTTTTGCTTTTTTTGTCTGCAAATGTTTATCCCTTGAACAGGATCTTGAGAACCTTATTTTGGCCTTTATACATTTGCTCCAAGAGTTTGGGAGAGATAGGCGTTTGATTTGTGTAGAACAAAGGAGAATTATGCTGCGTCTTCACTTGGCTACTTCATTTCACTTTAATTTAAATTACCACGAGACCTTGCATTGCAGGCACATTTCATATGTCTCCGCCATCCAATAACAATGAACTCTGTAAATACAGTCATTATACTTTTTATCTCATGAAAAAACGTTTTTAAAATGAATGAAATAATGTAATATAATGCTTTCAATAATTACAGCGTTTAATCATGTCCAGTATAACTAAATTGATATTTTGTACTTTGCACTTGCAGTCAGCCCCTGATGATGAGGCCACGACACTGAAAAAGCACGTGTTATACTCTTCCTGTGTTGGCCTCTTTGATTCTCTGATCTATTGTTAGTGAACTGAAACGACTACTTTTTAAACTCCTCCAGGACAACTGCTATTGTGATTGAGGAAAAATGTAATTTGCATTCTTTTTCAATCTTCACTTGTTTTTCATCCACTTACTATTGCAAACACTGATTTTGGGTGTACTGTATATTGAAGGATCAAGGCATTGCTGTCACTGACAGAGCAGCCATCCTCCTGTGGACTCACCACCTGCAGGAGGATCAGGAAGTGCCTGGTGCAATGAGAATTGGGTGGCAACCCCCAACCCAGAAATGGCATAAGGGGAAAAAGATGGATGGATGGTGTATTGTATTATCAAAAGAAATATATTAATATCAATATTAGTTTTAGGGGCGCACTCACCCAATCCGCTGTTGTATCCAAATCCATCATTCAGGGATATGACATCGTAGGGAATAGACATATTCCTATCAAATGGTCCAATGCAGTTGACATCCCCCAGGAAGGCAGTGAAGGCAACATTTACAGGTTCTGCCACAAGAATTACATCAAAACAGTAGTCATCAAATAAAGCAAAGGCTTAAATACACACACATATCCTTTTAGGAGCTGTTGTTTGCATTCCACAATGAACATGTTTTGTGTTAAACATTTATCCCACTCATCCCTATCTCACTTGTTCAAACCTTTATGGGTTGGATTGACCAATGTATTGTTCAGAATCACCATCAGGAGGGGATACACCAAAATACATCAGTTGAAAAACACAGCCATAGATATAGAGCCGCCTGCTGAATATTTACTTCAAAAAGTTACAAAGTATATGTGTCCTGTGGCACCACCTGTGTGTGAAATCCAGATCCCATCTGACCTCAAAAGCAAAGCAGGACAGGGCCTGGTTAGCACTGTCGTGGGAGACCTCTGAACACCATGTTCCATTGTTTTTAGAGTGTAATTATACATTCAATCCCAGCAGATGTATGATATGGAACTCAGTTATGGCTTTTTGGAAGATGAAATGCAATCACCACGGGGCAAGACCCCGGTGGTGGTGGAAACTGAGACATGACATTAAGTGCTTCCTCCACTGAAGAATGGGGAGTAGGCAGATTCTCGCACGAACAACAGCATAATGCAGAGACTCACTGTTGAATGCAGAAAGGGTGATGTGGATGTGTGTGACTTTAGCAGCTGAGCTCTAGAGCAGCAGGAGTACCGCAGGAGGGCCAGGGGTTTTTTCTTTTCTTCTGTATGTTTTCTTATTTGACAACATGAACAAATCTAAGATCTGTGCTCAGAGGGAATTATTAATGAAAAGCATCGTTGAGTTTCTGCATCTTTGGTTTCTGTGTGTGCCTTTGCTGATTAAGCGGCATTTGGAAAGTGGTTGTGAAGATTGTATAAATACCTCACACTTCTCTCTCCAACCCTTTTCAACCCCTTGTGTCATGTCCGTTGTGTGTTCAGGTCAGTCTTTAAACAATATTTAAAGTTCACCTATGACTTGACGGATCTCATGTTGAAGCTGGTTGATTCTGTCAGAGACGTTCAGGAACGACTCAGAGACGTGTTCTCTCAAACTCTGAAGCTCCTGGTTTCCACAGCAACAGCCCATGGACCTGAAGGCACAGCTGCAGTCCGACTTCTGACATGGAATATCACCCTCCCACTTTACTGAAGGGGAAAACAAGAGTATATGTACACCGCTTATAATGAATGCAAACATTTTCTGTATTCATCTGTATTTACAGGATGTTCCAGATATGTCTGTTTCCTTTGCCATCCCATTTTGGGATGGGATATTTTCACCCCGCCATAAGGTATGGGTATTGTTATTGCATGTGTCTTTTGTGTGTTATTGCATGTGTTATTATGTATGTCTGTGTGTTTCGTCAGGATTTACTTGCTGCTTGTTTGAGCTCCTCTCTGAGAGATGTTTCTTCCAGAGTTGTTGCTGTGTCCAGGAGAAGTCCCACAAACGCCACATAAACAAGGACTCGCATGATGCAGCTCACTCAAACCTGTAGTAATTGAGCATTCCGTTACTTCAAGCTAATTGTGAGGTAAGTAGTGTTAGCTAAACTACTTTGAGAAAGTATTTATTTACATGTTTAAACATTTAAAAAATGTAATTTGTAATATTATGACTATTTACACTTGTTTAAATGTATTACTTAGGTACAGTCTCGAGAACATTGATTAAATAGATTGCCTAAAGATTTCCTTATGCTACTTTTTAAGTGGAAAAAGTAAATATTTTGGTGTATTTGACCTTGTAGATATGAGTGATGACTATGATGCCTATACTTTTTTTTCACGCTTGTGTCCACATTGCTCAAGGATTAACTGTTGTACAGGTTTTCTGGTGCAGGGGTCCCACAGCAGAGACTGATCCTATAACATCCTCGAGACCACTGTGCATAACGCACCTTTAAGATCAATGATATTGCCCCAAGGGTAAATGTACAAACATTGCTAAATTATCTGCAAGATTCATTCATTTTTCCTTCATACAATTTAATAAGAAGGTATTTTTTTTAGATAATAAAATAGCAGTAACATCTCTACACACTGCTCCTGCTGCTGATCTGTGGGATCTGCAGCAGTCACTGTCTGTGGATCATTCCACATTCAGAATGATCCGTTTCAGAACTTGCTTATTCAAGCAATGACATTATTTAGTAAAGTAAATAATGAATCTGTTTTGATAGTACAGTAATATACTACTCCGCTAGTTAAAAATTTGGATCTTAGTAAACATCTGTGACTGAGTCACATTTAACAGTAACCACATCAGGAAACCTTCAGGCAGCAATGTAGAGATTTCAATTGGATGAGTTTTACCTTTTCTCAGCTGCAGCAGCTTCTTAACCGTCCATCCAAATGTATAACTAACTGCTGACCAAACTGCTCTGTCTAAAGCGTGTGAAAGTAGGTGTGTATTTGGGACAGGGCCCACCCCAGTGATGTCCCGATGGACCTTTACAGAGCAGTCCTGGTCGTGTAGCGCTTGTGCATATGAGGTGTTAATGAGGCCAGAGGTGTCCGATGGACAGATAACATCACTCACTTTGTTCTGAAAGACACACAGTTTTATTTGGCTCTTGATGACCCACAGGGATCATGTTACTGCTCTCCATTATGGCCTGTGTGTGTGAAGCACAGAAACAACAAGAGACCATGGAGCCTGAGTCAAAGAATTATGAGGTTGTACTGATAAGCGCTGATGTCCTAAAATGCATATCCATACAATTATCCTGATTTAATCTCAGTATGAAAGTATGAGTATAAAATGTGGACTGCCACATTGTTACTGTTGCATCATGTCCAATTCCTTTGGTTTGACTGTGTTATGAACAGTATAAGGCTCATCAACTGACAATGTTATAGTTTAATTTATCGTTTATTCTTTATACATTACATTCTTGAGATATTTCAATCTCAGCACCCCAAAAAATAAGACACAATGCAAACAACATTCTGGAATATTGTTATTGCACCGTGATACTTTGGTAAATTTTGATCAACACAACATCAACATTGTCGCACAAGCAAATATAGAGACATTTGTGACATTTTGTTTACATTTTGTTCATGGCATATCATTTTGATTTATAAGGCACAATGCAAATCGTACATAAAGATCATTGTTTTGACATTGAAAAAACTAAATTATATTTTTTTTACCAACATTTATTTATGGAGGATGTACAAGCTATTTGTTTAATTGTTTGTGGGAAAATCGTTCCAGGAAGTATCTAATTGTTGTGTCTGAGAGTATGTCAGAGTCATCACAGGGGATTTATGCCTCCTTCACTTTGTCCTCATAAGAGCCGCTGCCTTTATAAGCTCCCACATAACCGCTGGTGTCGGCGATTTCCTCTCGGCCCGCCTTGCCCTTCCCTTTGCCCGATTCGTCGAAGCGCTCCTTGTGTGCGCCTGTGTATTTACTGGCATCCGTCAGTCTGTCCACTGCTCCAGCCTTTGCAACTTTCTACAAAAAGAAGAACAAAACACTATTTTAGTCTGGCCTGTCAGTCAGCCACAAACAGACTTGTTTCAGTCAAGACATGTGGAAGAACTCACAGTGACGCCAACATTTGCCGGCTCCTTCCCAGCGATGAGGCCGTACATCTGCTGCAGCGCCTCCTCCTGGCTCTTGCCTTTGAAGCGTTTTGGAGCCAACTCTGCCAGTGCCTGCTTGAACTGTTCAAATGTGATCACCCTGGCTGTTTTAGCCCTGAAATCATAAGGTGAAAGATCATAAGGTGAAATATATTTATCCATAATGGTTCAACATTTTGTAAATCTTTTCCTCTTACTTGACTTTGCTGAACACTATGTCCACATCAGTTGTGGTGATGTTTTTTCCATCAGTAATACGGCAGTCCTTGCACATTTTTGCAAAGTTCTTGTTGTTCATCTCTTTGCCAGTGGCTTTAGTGTCACCATGAACTGCAAACTTCTGGAAAGCCATTTCAACCTCGGCCAGTGACATTGAAGAGTCTGCCATACTGTGGAATAAAGTCATCTCTCACATCTTAATGATCAAAGAGAGAAAAGGCATGTCACACTTTTACATGTTTGGTAATCTGATTTATCATACATTTTCTGCATATATGACCTACTGACTGTAGCAGTGTGGTTGTCATGCAGAAAAATGTCTAGGTAATAATAAATAATTACTATTTGGTCAAATCTGCGATGACCAAGCAGCAATGAGATTACTTTTATCATGATTTTGCTTTTATTTGGTATATTTACTGCAACTAATTAAAAAATAATGGCCCTACAACAGATCCTTGTGGCATGGCGCAGGTAACTTCATATTGACTTGAGGTTTTCTAATCAAGGTAAAAAGTGTTTAGTTTAAGGCTCAGTGCCTATGCACGCTCAAGTGTTGCTGCATAAATAGTTTTTCATCAAGAACTTAATTTCCGACCTGGCTCCAAAAGAATAACTCAGAGAATGATGCTTCCATTAACTAATTGAACTGTAGGCTGCCAAGAAAGTCCTCCATGACAAATCTTCTAAATGGACATTTTCTATTACTGATGTGCAAACACTCATTCTAATTATCCATCTTCCTGCTACCCGAGCTGCTCTCTGGCCCACTTAATTCAATCAACTCAGCTTCCAAATGGCTCTGCTGCATTTATGCGTATAGCAACTCACTGCTTTCTTATATTTTCTAAATCTTTTGACCAGTTTCTATTTGATGTCATGCTTTTTTCTAAACATATACACTATAAATAATCACACACAAAATGTATTCAAACATGTAAAAGAGCAAAAAACACGATGCTATAAAATAAACAATCATGTTGCAAAGCAGCAGATGCACATAAATGACAATAACAATAGCAAAATGTACCTGTCTTTGGATGGATGCTATATTTGGGATGCTGATTTGCAAGCGGTCACAGTTCTTCGTCCTCTTCTTCCTCTTCTGAGTCTAGAGTGTCTCCTCCCTCAAGCCCCGCCCACAGAGTCTCGCGAGGACAGATACAATGGAGACACCACCACCAAGTATGACATCATGGCTGGCCTGACTCACATTTCCCTATTTATACCCAGCACGTCTATAATTTACACCTGACCAAATGAACGCAGGGATGTTGGAAGTCACTAAGAACAGATGGCACTTGGAACTGAACTGAGTTTGATGTTTCCATTCTATCGTCATTGCTATGATCAAACACAATTATTTCAAATTTCATCAGACTACTGGCTACATTACACTACACTGTAATGCATTTGGCGTATCAACCAGATACGTATGAGTTACTTCCGACAAACAAACAGGCAGGAGCAGTTTCTGTTGTTCTCTAATGAGTCTCTAATGTGAATTTTAAAATAAATCAATTGTCCTTCATCCTTTTGTAAACATCCTTTTTATAACATTCATTTAGATTATACAACAAGAAAACTAACCTTCTGTACCAGCATCACAGACAGGTGCTTTTGAGTTGTTGACTATAAACATGAGCAGGTTTTCCCACTACATACCATCATGAAACTCACGATGAAATGGTCGACATATTGATTCATGGTCATGAGTTATATATCGTTTCTTAAAGTAAACCTTTCTGTCTGACAATTGTCATCAGTGTCTGAAAATTGTTTACCAAATAGCTTTCACAAACCATAAATGTCGTTTTTTCTTGACACCCAAAGATGCTTCACACGGCATTATTTGGTCACTACATACACTTTGGTATAAACAACATATGTAGCCACAGCTGCCCTGGGGCAGACTGACAGAACCAAGGCAACTAAGCTGTGCCATCTGCATCACTGACCACCACCATTCATTCAAACACGACTCATCCAAGTGGGTGAAAGATCTTACATAAAGACACAACGACAGTTTGAAACTTTACTGCCACAGCCGCCCCACTGTGGTACCTGGTGTTTACAGAGGTCTCCCATCACAGTATGAATCAGGTCTTGCCATGCTTAGCTTCTGAGATCAGACAAGATCAGGATTTTCAATTGTAGTTTTTTCTTTACGTCTAAACGTTTTTTGTATTATTATTATTTATTTATTTAAAATATTTAAATATATTTGACATGATCCGTCTCTCTCAGTCCCACATGCAAACAAAGGTGACCTCTATCTTTGTTTACTCGTGGAAAGCTGCTGGAGCGGCACTGGTTTCACACACATGACTGAGAGAAGCTGAGACAGCAGGCTGCTGCTTACAGTAACAACAATTCCTTGTCTTTAAAAGTTGGTTGACAAGAGGAGTGCCTCTTTAGAGAGGCTGACAGGTGATTGAAAGCTGTTTATTTAATCATTACTACCATGGCTAACTATGACATGGCCGAGGCTGGCTTTCCTTTGCCTCCAGAGGCGTATTGTCCTCTGTGTGCGGACACTCTCAGAGACCCAGTCACTATATCCTGTGGAGACACCTACTGCCTCGAGTGCATCAAGGTTTATTGGGACCAGTTCGACCACTTGGGGGTGTACAACTGTCCTCAGTGTCGCTCCACCTTCACTCCTCGTCCTGTTCTGAGAAGAAATGTCCCAGACGTCCACCACGAGTCCAGAGGACAACTACCAGCACTCACTCCATTCCCAGATCTACAGCGGGAGTCTTTCTGTGACTTCTGCGTGGGCCGTCGTCAGAAAGCAGTGAAGTCTTGTCTCATGTGTCTGGCCTATTACTGTGAAACCCACGTCAAACCCCATTATGAATCCTCCACGTTTAAGAGGCATAAGCTGGTGGACGAGACAGGGCATCTGGACAGGAAGATCTGCCCTCATCATGAGAAAGGCCTGGAACTGTTCTGTCGCTCAGACCAGATGTGTATCTGTGTTCTGTGTACGGTCCGAGAGCACCGTGGACACAACATCACCTCAGCGGAGGAGGAGCGCATCGAGAAGCAGGTAAAGCAGGCTCTTCTTATTACAGGAACAGATGCAAACATGAAGGGCGGTGGCTATGGAAACATATTTCCGTTGTTAGTTTGATAGATGGTAAAAGTAAAACTCATTTGTTTTTCCATAGTTTGTTATGTCTTAGTTTTGATTAATTCAAAAAATATAAAACACTTTCACAAACACATTTTAAAGATAATCTTCTGCCTAAAATGTATGATCAAAAACCATAAAAGTCGCAATGCTACAATCACTTTAATTTGTACATCATTTATCAAAAGACACTATCTTTTCACTTTTTAACATGTTTGGACATTTCCTATTGACACATTTCCTGTATTTTGCACAACCTGAGTGATCCTATTTATGCCAAATGTGACATGTACATTTCTCCACTGCGAGATCAATAAAGTCTATCATATTTTATCTTTAGAATGATAACATGTATACATGAAAATGCATTCTATAAAAATGTCAAATGCTTTTAATTTGGAAAAAAGTCAACATTCTTTTGTGTCTAGAAAACGTTGGTTGTGACTCAGACTGAGGTTCAGCATCTAATACAGGAGAGGGCGAAAGAGCTGCAGGAGCTCAAACACAACATGGAGGTTCTAAAGGTAAGATGTAGACCTTACATCCGAGCGGTGACTTCAGTGAAACCGCTCCTTCTGTTTGTCTGAAGTGATGTTATTGTTCAGAGCGCTGCACAACGAGCTCAGACTGAGAGTGATAAGACGTTCCATGAGATGCTGCAGGCGGTGGAGCGCTGGAAGTCTGAGATAAACCAGATGATCATGTCCAACATGCAGTCGGCCATGCTGCAGGCCGACAGCTACGTGGAGCGGCTGGAGCAGGAGATCATGGAGCTGCAGAGGAGGGACGCAGAGCTCAGGCAGATCCTGGAGACAGAGGACAATATACACTTTCTACAGGCACTGACGTTTCATCTGACAATAATGCGTTTTCTCATGAGCATAATTATATCATATGGCACTAACGTCACGTGTTTCCACAGAACTTTCCAACTCTGTGTATTCCTCCTGAACCAATGGTGCCAAAGGTCCTCATGAACCCCCAGTTCTCTTTTGGGGACATTAGTAAAACTGCTATGGACATGAAGGAGAATCTGGACGAGATCTGCAAGAAAGAACTCAGCAAGATCTCCAAAACAGGTCTCAGGACTTTTATAAGAGACAGAAATCATGTGTCAATTATTACTACAGTGTCGTAGTTACGGTGCTGATGAATAAAGAGACCATTTTTCTCTCTATCGACAGTAAATGAAACTCCAGTGTATATTCTTCTGCCACGAAATGGAGACAAAAGAATAAAAAGTATGTTTTTTCCCACATATTCTATTATTTTTTCTTCTGTAAATTAGCAAAGAAGGTTAAAAAAAATCTATTGTTCCAGGTCCATCAAGAGTTGACTTCCAGGAGCCAAAAACTAGAAATGACTTCTTGAGATGTGAGTACAGTACAGTACAGTAATCAATTTTTACTAGCAGTTAACCAGATTATTATTTTTATTAGTATTACTGTTTATGGTTTGAGAAGACTAAAATGTCCTGTATATAAGGGGGTTTGCTTAGTTTACAATGTCTATGGCCACTGCTCAACAAAAATAATAATAACATGAGACCGACAGGGTAGAAGTTGAAGTTAAACACTTTTTGCGCTGAACCCAATGAATAAAAACAGTTTTGCAAAGATGTAGCAAATACGCAGGACATCAAATCTGAAGTGGTGCTTCATAGATTGTACATATTCATACATATCGGTCATCGATAGAAAAGAAATGTGTCTCAACTCGAACAACAATTCTATGGCAGAAGCTAAAATATCCAATACCATTCCCACTCGTACATGTAGGCCAGGGGTCTCCAACCTTTTTCCATCTGAGAGCTACTTTTATACAAACGAAGAGGCACAGAGCTACTCCTCTTCTAATAATGATGACAAAACATTTAGAAAACATGTAAAATACACAAACCCTAACCCTATATTCATAATAGATATGTAATGGCTCGAAAATATTCTTTCAAGATCATTTGTTACATTTTAATTCCTTTGGCGAGCTACCTGAAAGGGGTTGGCGAACTACTGGTAGCTCCCGAACCACAGGTTGGTAGGCCCTGATGTAGGTTATCATATCATATCATATAAACACCTATTTTATTTTTTAAATTAGTATCTTGAGTGAAAAAATGCATTCAAATGAGTCAAAATGTTTCTGGAAAAAAAAAAGAACAGTTCCTGATCATATATTTGATACTTTGGTTCCTGAAAATAGTCGTTTGGTTTTAAAGGGATATATAAGACTTTTTGTGCAATTATGTAAAAACTACCTTTCAACTTGATGTTTTGGTTTTTCAGAAGGTTGTGTTTCCTTATTTATTTCACTGGGACAGTACATGCCAAAGAACACATATGTTTAAACATATTGTAGACGCACTATATTGAAGCGAAAGGTTAATTTGCATCTGTAGACCCAGAGGGGCGGAGTCACAAGGGAGTTATTTTCTTCAACTTTTACACGTTTTTTCACATGATTTCACTCGAGCATCAACACTGAGCGCTGCTTCCATCACATGTGGTTTTCAAAAATAGTAATAGTGTATTCCTACAGACTCCTGTCGCCTCACATTTGACCCCAACACAGCCTACAAAGAGCTGGTGCTGTCAGAGGGGAACCGTCGCGTCACCAGGAAGAAAACCGGCCAGTTCTACCCCGATCACCCCGAGCGCTTTGACGGCTTCTCCCAGGTCCTGTGCAAGGAGCCCCTCAGCGGGTTTCGCTTCTACTGGGAGGCCGGGTGGAGCGGGGAGTTCTCCGTGGGCCTGGCCTATCGCAGCATCAGTCGCAAGGGCAAGAACTCCCACAGCCTGCTGGGATACAACGACCGGTCTTGGAGCCTGTTGTGCTCAGACAACGGGTATTCGGCCTGGCACAATAAAGTGGACCGAGATTTGCCCAGCGCACCCCGAGCCAGTAGGATCGGGGTGTACTTGGACTACGCAGGCAAGAGCGTGTCCTTCTACGCAGTTTCAGAATCGATGGAGCTCATTCATAAGTTCAAAGCCGAGTTTTCCGATCCGCTGTTTGCAGGGTTTGGAGTGGGGTCGTCTGTGTGGCTTTGTCAGCTAAAGAATACTTCAAACTGAGCAGATGAAACAAAGCATTCAGTTTGGATCAGGGGTCTCTAACCTGTGGCTTGGGAGCTACCAATAGCTCGCCAGCCCCTTTCAGGTATAGCTCGCAAAAGGATTTCAAATGACCTATAATAAACATATTTTGAGTCATTACGCATCCAGGTTATACATTACTATGTAATCTCCATGTTTTGCTGTAATTATTAGATTTGTATTACGACTGCAAAAAGAAGTAGCTCTACTGTATGCCTCTTTTTTTGTATGAAAGTAGGTCTCTGAATGAAAAAGGTTGGAGACCCCAGGCTTAGATGGTAAGCAATTTGATAAGGGTATTAGATTATGTTCTAAGGCCTGTTTCCTTCTTTCGATGACAGTTCTCAAAGTGAGACTGTTTTTTACTCTGCATCAAAATTATATGGATCATTTATGTTCTTGCTAGAATTACTGAAAGAGGTTTTATTGAAATGTTATAGTCAAACAAGCCATGCAGAAAAAAATTCAAAACCTTTTGTGTTGGATGAAATGTATGTTTTGTCATTAGTTCAGCACAAATGGCACAAACTGTCAAAAGACCTGTATCAAGCAATAGTGACTTTGCACATTTTGTAATGGTAAGACCAAAAACTACTTTTTAATTACCTATTTACTGAAACACCACAACAAAGTAACGGACAACTGTGGAGTAAAAGCAAAACAGAAAAGTAAAGCCACCATAAGTCACCATAAGGCATGGGACTGTACCTTGTGGAATCCCCTTTTGCTTCAATCACTGCAACTATTTTTGAGTATGATCTTACAAGCTTTGTACATTGAAGGTTTGCTCATTATTCCTCACAGAACAACTATAGTTGTCAATCTTTAGATAGCAGAGTTTCACTTGGATTTAGTTTTTTGACTTTGACTGGTTCATTGCAACAGACATATATGTTTATTTAAAAAAAAATGCATTGAGTGATGGTTGGTAAACAGTCACCGCAGCCTGATTTGCTGACTTTGCTTCCAAGATTCCCTTTCTATGTATGATTCTTTTTCACTTCACAGTTGTCTGTTACTTTACTGTCATCTTTCAGTTCAAAACATCTTCAAGTTCAAAGTCAAACATTAAAGGTTGAGAGTAAACCATGGATCTATTGGGTTTAGGCACTTTTGCAAGACACTGTATTTGTCTGTTCCTGGCATTGTGCAAAACAAACATGACTCATGTCTAAAATAAAGGTCAGTATTGTGCTTTTTGAATAGGGTCATACAGACTGATATAACTCTAAGTCTTTGAATGGTTCAACCCTTTCACTTATGTTTTCTTTCATGTTATGAAAGAAGCTATTGTTGAGATTCCAACTAAGCTAGTTAGGGTTAGTTTTAGGCTCGACAGCACTGCCTCAAGTGGATTGAAAGCAGACTGCAGAATGGAAGGGTCATGAGTGTATATCACAGATGTGTAAATAAGAGACAAAGGAGGATATGATGTCAGTCTGTCAGTGTGCCCCAGGGCAGCTGTGGCTACAGAGGTAGTTTAAGGTTCTTTTAATGGTCTTTAAATGTCTTAATGGTCTTGGGCCTTCTTATCTTTCAGATTTGCTTTTATCCTATGAGCCTTCCCGGCCCCTGCGCTCCTCCGGCAGCAGACTCCTAACCATCCCCAAAGTCAGGACACACACTCACGGTGAGGCATCTTTCCAGCACTACGGCCCCCGTCTCTGGAACAGTCTGCCGGAGGAGCTCAGGGCCGCAGAGAACGTTCATATTTTTAAGAGTAGGCTCAAGACGCACCTTTTTAGAGCAGCTTTTGATTAGTATTTATTATCTATTATTGCTTTTTAGTACATCTATTTATGTTTTTAGACGGATTATATTTTTATTTATTTTTATTATTTGCTATTTTTAATTATTTATTGTATCTACCCATTTACTATTGTTATTATATTAGGCAGCTGCCATTTTTCTTTTTATTTTCACATTCTATTGTTCTACTTTCTATTGTATTATTGTATTGTTTTAGTGTCCCCAGTGTTTCCTCTGGAGGAGCCCTCTGCACTGAGAGCTGGGGTCTGCTGTGGCTTCGGGGGACTGGCTCTTGGATCCGGTGGGGGTCTGGGGCCTCCTCTCTCCCCTGGGTCCTATGGGGTCTGAGTCCTGGGCCTGGTGGGGTCTGGGGCCCCTCTCTCCTCTGGGTCCTGTGTCGTTGCCTGTGGCTGCAGCCGGCTCTCTGCTCCTGGTGCAGATGGCTCCTTGGATGACGCTTCTTCAGCCGGTTACATCTGCTCCCAGCCCCATTTCTTTTTATTGTTTTACCTATTTTACCTGATATGACTTTATACTTGTGTATATGTGTGTGTGTGTGTGTGTGTGTGTGTGTGTGTGTGTGTGTGTGTGTGTGTGTGTGTGTGTGTGTGTGTGTGTGTGTGTGTGTGTGTGTGTGTGTGTGTGTGTGTGTGTGTGTGTGTGTGTGTGTGTGTGTGTGTGTGTGTGTGTGTGTGTGTGTGTGTGTGTGTGTGTGTGTGTGTGTGTGTGTGTGTGTGTGTGTGTGTGTGTGTGTGTGTGTGTGTGTGTGTGTGTGTGTGTGTGTGTGTGGGTGTGTGTATTGTATATATAATTATAAATGTGATTTTGGGGGGTCTGTGGGGAGGAGGGTTTAGGGCTGGGCATGTTGGATTGTTTTTAACTAAACTGTAAAGCACTTTGTGTTACACTTTTTGTATGAAAAGCGCTTTATAAATAAAATTTGATTGATTGATTGATTGATTTATCACCACCGTGTAGGAAGTGAATGAATAATGACATGTAAAGCGTCTTTGAGTGTCCAAAAAAGCGCTATATAAAACCAATGCATTACTATTTATTTTTATTATGTCTTTTCAAGTGTACATAATTCACAAAACATGTTAACTCGTCTTCCAAGTCCAAGACTAACTCTGTATCGGGATATCAGAATGAGAAAGAAAAACAAGTATTACATAAATGCTTGTCAGTTTTTGCTCAAGGAAATACACAAATATTTAAACTATACTAATGTGCCAATACAGTATGTAGTCACTGTATAAGCCAAGCATGAGAAAGCATAACTGCATTTGAATAAACCACATTGATGCAAAACATAATCAGGAGCTGAAGTTTGCATCCAGAGCATTTGCATAAGCAATGCAGGTTTCCACAGGTGTTATACTGGAAAAACTTGTACAGCATTATCATTCTGCATGACCATACTACTGAGCACTTTGGAGAGGAAAACAAACAGGTCATCCTTTTTATTGTTGCTCTTTTTACCTGAATCTGTGCTATTCTCATTCTCTCAACATGAATAATACAATTGAAGGTACTTTTTTTGATGAGAATTTAATTATTGTTTTAATCTCACTCAACACAGTGTCGCTTCCCCTGAACGCTTACATTATGTGGCTGATGGTGACTGGAACCCAAAGCATGAAAGCATCAGATATTTTCAATCTGAACCTGGCTGTGACTGAGTTTTTATTTACTTTCATCTCTCCAGCTATTTTGATGACATTTAATCCCCACTTGTTTCATGTTTATTTTTTTTCATTGGGTTTCTTGCTCACTGGCAGGCCACTCTTCCAAAGTTACATCTGTGTTTACTACTACTTTGGAGTGATACATCCTGTCTATTTTGTGAAATATAAAGGCCTGCGCTATAGAATGGCTTCTTGTTTTGTTGCCTGGCTTATCATATTAGCGTCCTGCTCCTACTGTCGTTTTTTCTTCCTGAAGTTCCCCACTCATTTCATGTTTTTCATTCAGAATTGGCTCTTTTTGGCAATAGCTGTTTTTTGCACTCTTTCGGTCCTCAAGGCACTGAAGAAGCCAGGGCCTGGAGACAAAGTGGAGCACAAGAGAAACAAGACAAAACAAATTGCTTTTAGGACATTATGTTTCATCTTGAGTTCTATGGTTATTAATTTAATATGTTATATCGCTCCAATCCCACTTCAGTACGTCTTGGGTAAAACGACCTACATTTATGTGTTGACCATTTGTATCTTTCTGTCGTTGAGCGGAGGGGTCATGCAGCCACTCCTCTACTTGCACAGGATGGACAAACTGGCCTGCTGTAAACGCCTTTCACTTTGCTAATGAATTTACCATTCTACTTTTCAGCAGCAACAGTTTATGCAGTCTTTTAAACTTTCTGAAAACCATAGCTCCCCCCCAGGAGTTTAACAGCATGTTGAAATGCCTTCATATTATAATTATAATCTTTGTTTATATAGCGTCTTTCACAGACCAGAGTCACAAAGCACTATACAATTGTGGGTATTTGTCTACCACTCCACTCAGAGAGTCGAGTTGCCAGTACTGGAGGCGCATACCAGACCTATCGTACGTGAAACCGGAGTACCCAGAGGAAACCTACGCAAAACACATGGAGAACTTGCAAACTCTTCTCAGAAAGGCCTTGTTCTGATCGGGATTCGAACCCAGGACTTTCTTGTTGAGAAGCAAGAGTGCTATCCACTCAGTTGCCGCCCATGGTATTGTTATTATAGACTAGATAGATAATTTCCTTCTCAATCTGCTACAGGTATTGATGCGGGGATATTTTGAGTCTCTTGCAGAAATCTGACTTGTATAGGTTTGCTCAGCGTTAGCATTAAACCACCCTTTATTCAAACAAAACACATATTTTTCTGATAGATGTGCAGTGGATCACATTGCAGAGTGCATATATCAAAAGATGACTTCATTAGTAGTCATGTGTAGATATGTGTTTGTTCATTTAAGGTACCGTGATGTTCTTAGGGCAGACTGCTCTGAAGGCTAAGTGTTCTGGTGGAGGGTTTGTTTATCTTGTATGTGTATATGTTTACAAATTAATAAACTACACTTTGTTTTACATCTCTGGGTTGGTATTTCATTTTACTGTTATGCGGTTTACTCTTTACATAAATCAAATCCACAACAAGTCAATCTACAATGAATGCATGCATATTTGAAGTGAGGCTTGAAACATTGATTATACTGAATAAACTTTTGTTTTACCGTTGTTTCCGATATTTATTTTCTGTAAATGTTTTTTTTGCTGGTTAACTGTAAAGAACCCTTTAAAAATGTATTATCATTATTATTATAATGCCCAAAACTCACCATGGATAGCACAATAAAAAGAACCGTGTAGTCGCCCAGTAAGGCGCAGCCGGGGCTCCACCCTGAAGGCAGGCCTGGGGTTGGGGCTCGTATGCGAGAGTCTGGCGGCTGGGCCTAAGCCAGGAAGAATGACATGGGCAGGTCCTGGCGACCCAGTCCGCATGCGCAACATCTAGTGAGGGAAGGATGGAGCGTGAGATTGACAGGCGGATCGGTGCAGCGTGCGCAGTGATGCGGTCGCTGTATCGGACCGTTGTTGTAAAGAGGGAGCTGAGCCGAAAGGAAAAGCTCTTGATTTACCGGTCAATCTTTGTTCCCTCCCTCACCTATGGTCATGAGCTGTGGGTAATGACCGAAAGAACGAGATCGCGGATACAAGCGGTCGAAATGAGCTTCCTCCGCAGAGTGGCTGGGCGCTCCCTTAGAGATAGGGTGAGGAGCTCAGTCACACGGGAGGAGCTCGGAGTAGAGCCGCTGCTTCTCCACGTCGAGAGGAACCAGTTGAGGTAGCTCGGGCATCTGTTCCGGATGCCTCCTGGATGCCTCCCTGGGGAGGTGTTCCGGGCACGTCCCACCGGGAGGAGGCCCCGGGGAAGACCCAGGACACGCTGGAGGGACTACAGTATGTCTCTCAGCTGGCCTGGGAACGCCTTGGGGTCCCCCCGGAGGAGCTGGAGGAAGTGTGTGTGGATAGGGAAGTCTGGGCGTCTCTGCTTAGACTGCTGCCCCCGCGACCCGGCAACGGATGAAGCGGAAGAAAATGGATGGATGGATGGATTATTATAATACTAACATACTCATGCCAAATCAGTCACAAACTAGGAATTTGCTTTGGTATATGGTGCAGACAATTCCTTTGTGCTCAAAACTTTGGAAAACATTCAAATTGTGTTGTGTTGTCTTTGTTACGGCCCAGCTCAGCTAGGGTGAAGGAGTTTACACAAATGCTGCTGTCTCAACAAAAGCAAACCCTCAAAAACAATACCCAAAGTGGCAACTAAATTGTGACATACCAAATATAACACACGACTTTTGAAAGTCATTGTCACACCTAGTTACATGACAGACATTTCCAAACACCAAACCTCATGGACACATGGCATACCAGCCACACAGACTGGCAGCCCAAGACAGGCGTGAATTTCTATAACATTGGGTCAAAATAACCCGCCACATGATTCAAGTAGAAGAAAAATACCCTGAATTATGGTCCAAAAGGGTCTAAATAAGCCAGGGCTGGTCAAGTTAGGAAAAAAATTAAAATTGAGCTCATACACAATACAAAAAGGGAGCAAGATGAAGGCCTAGGGCCACAACAATAACCCTTGTATATTGTGCAGAGGCTCTACCTGCATACAGAACTGATGCTAAGCAGGGCAGGGCCAGGACAGTGATGTGATGAGAAACCTCTAGTAAGGATTGGTGTAGGTTGGAGCGGCCTCTCTTAGTACGGTTAGCCATAGAACTCTAAACATTTTTGATTGTTAACCAGACTCACTCAGGCTTATGTGGGCCATGGGGGTATACCATGTCCATATTGATTCATAAAACAGCTCCATCACTGTCATGTAATGTTGTGACAAGCAAAACAAACATCCGTACATTTAAAGTTAAAGCCCAGAACTGTTGAAATCCAGTCAACTATGGGTATAGCATAACTATATTTGAGGAGCAGAAGTTGGCAGGATGATATGAAAGCGCCTCAATGGCTATTTTGTGATGGTAAAGCAGAGGGCCGCAAAACATAACCCCCTGTCACTCTAGAGAATAATAATGTTTGAAAACAACACAAACCAAAGAGGATAAACAGACATTTATTTTACATAATGTAAACTATAAAGCGTTAGATTTAGATGCATTTGCAGCCAACTTGTTCACAGTGCACAGTTCAGGTTTGAAACAACACCGATGCTGCTCAGCTTGTACACAAACTCACACGGAAGGTTCTTCTTCTCAGAGCGCTTCTCTACCGCCGTCACCTTAAAAACTTCATACGGTGGAACCAGCACTTCTCTCTCCGCCTCTCCCAGTTTAGAAAAGAGCGACACGTCCGCCCCGAAACACGTGTTAATCTCAAAGCAACTTCTGTCCCCAAATCTGGCCGCGCTGGGGAACCAACCCATGGAGCTGGAGGAGAAGGAGCCAAAGCGCACGGGCCTGTTCACCACGTCCCGCCTGAAGTACGCGTTAACCCGGCGGTGGACGCGCACGCACCGCTCGGCCTTGCTTCTGCGTGCGTTGAGTTTCTGAATAGCCCCGGTCAGAAAGTAGTGGAGAGAGTGGTATTGAAAAGACGTCTTGTACTTGGGCCCTTGAGTGCGCACCGCGTTGTTGAAGTCCATATAGACGTTAGGCGTGTCCAGGGTGTACGCGTAAATAGACATAATTTGCTCTTTGCTGAGGGACGTTGATGGTTTTTTCCCATTTTTGCGTCTCCATAATTTGTTGTAGTACTTCTCGGCCGCACTCCAAGCTAAGGTGAAGTTTGTTGTCATTTTGTTTTTCTCCATTGGTAGATATTGCTTTTTAACTATGGCGTCCATGCGGTCTGTGCAGCCACTGTACATGTCATCCACTGAGTCAACGGCCATGTCCAGCATCCAGTAATCTGTTTGAGCTGGTTTCTGAAACATATGTAAAAAGAGAATGAAAAAAGTAAATCCCTACAGACCTAATTAGAATGCCCAACAAACAGCTCTGTTAAAGAACCAACTTAAACACCATGTTAAAGTAAATCAGTCATGCAACTGTAACTTGTATAGTTGTATTGTGTTTTGTATTCTGATTATGGTGTGACCTGCCTTGGGACTACAGATGCAATTTAGAAATGTTGCTATAATCTGGCAGATTTAAAATTTGTGTACAACTTGTATACGATTGTTCTTTAATGTGTGTTGTTCCGATCAAATAAATACATTTTAGTGTATATATAGCTCAGTCTTACCTGCGCAAAAGCCGTCAGAGTTGTATGAACTAGAAGCCAAGCTGTCCACAGTGACGACATCTTAAACTATGTACAAAAATATATTTAGAATGTTATTAACTCATTGACTGCCTCTGATGTATTTGCCTGAGAATGGTGATTTGTCAAATTTCCTTCTATTCGACTGAATACAGGAGAACAAAACTAGCTAGAAACAGTTTTTTTTTGCTGATGAAAGTAGATAGTCCAGTGTTTCAGAATCTACATTTCACAAAATAAATCCTTGCACACAATTTTCTGTGGGTCTTGAAAATCAAAAACAGCTGGCAGTCACTGAGTTAATTAAATCTAACTACTACTAGTTTTTGCATGCAAACTTCTTATGTAGTCATTTTAAAACCACATTTCTAAGACAATAAAGTGAAAAAAAGTGAATCAATCTTGCTCAGCCTCAGACGTCACTGGGCTGTTTCTAGTTTACAAAGTATGCAATGTTTTTAATGAGATGAAGACTGAACAATAGCACAGATTAAGAACAGCATTTTCTGAATTTTCAGTATCTGCTTTTCCTCACCGCACAGACAGCCCCTGCCCCAGCTGAAGGCCATCACCAATCACACATATCAACTATACGGCTGCATCCCAAATCATGAAAATATATCTCCCTTTTTCCTTTATGTATAAGGTATCTCCAGGTTTGGTGACGCTAAAATTAAGAACAACTTAAAAACGTAACACAATAAAAGTCCAAGAGAAGATTTGGTGTTGTTTAAACCAAATATTTTTGATGACATATCACATTTTGACTGTAAATAATTCACATAACATTACTTTACCACTTAAAGCCCAATAATTCCCATTAATAAAAACAAAATTGAGCACTTATGTATAGACATGTATGGACATTGGTTAACCTCTCATCCTATGGACCAATGGCTCATGAGGGTTTTATTGTGTTACTTCTTATCTGTTGGTGAAATAAATGAAACCCTTGAGACAATTATGCTATTATAATATTGGCCTCCATATAAAAAAAAACATTTGATTTATTAAAATATTCCAGTGTATTTTTCATAGAGGCCCATCTATTTTATGTGTATTATCTGCACTCACAGGGTGAATAAATGGAAGTGACTAATTTAAGTTCTACTTCCTGCTCAGTTGAATCACCGTTATAAATGACAATAAAGTACTTCATTGCTAAATCTTAAGCAATGATATTGTTGTAAACTGTGATGAAAAGAGGGATGACCTTTAAGTGGAAGGGAAATCCTTCCACTTAAAATCACTTTTATCACTTTAATATATTTATGATGATAATAATAATAGAAAATAATAATGATTGTTTTTGTGTAGCACTTTTATAGCAGACATTCAATGATGCTTTACAAAATAACAGGTTAATACAAAAAATAATGAAAAGCTAGAAAAAACTGCTCGGTTAAAGTTTTTTTGCAGTCTTTTTGGTTTCAAAATTAGTTTCAATGTAAATTCTTGTTATTCTTCTGCATGATCTGATGGTCCCTCAAATAAGCTCTCAAACTGTTCAGACTTTTAAAATAGAATTCCTGATTCCTAAAGGATTTTTACATCCATAACCGTGAGATGGACTTATTTACTTGTGTCTCATCAAATATTTATTTATTTATTTAACCTTTATTTAAATGGGAAAGTCCCTCTTTTTCAAGGGAGTCCTGGAGATGATGATGATGAAGACAATGAAACACCACAATCATTTGTTTCACGTTTGCTATGAATTCCGTCAATCTGCCTTGTTTTAAATATAGGTTTGAATGGCAAAACAACGTCTCAATAAAATACCCCATTAAGTACGTTTACAGAGCATGCTTCCTGTTTTGAGGTGCCAGTTGCCATGTCGTGCACTGTAGCTCAGACTCGGACCTTAGAACAGTCACCTCTGTGGTATGTCACTGCTCTGGTTCCTTCTCAAAGACTCATTGATTCGCTGTGACTGGATAAAAAGTCAACAGTGATCATTTGACTTTGACAGTTCGGTACTTTATGTTTATTTGAGCACGCCCAGGTTGCCATAATGCAGTGTTGGCCTTATCGCAGTACCCGGCAACGAATGTTCTAAGAGCAACAATGTAATGTTTCAATTTGCAAAAGATTAGATAAAAACAACATGAAAAGACGAGAGAAGAATAGGTTGCATTCACGGAATTCTTCTTCAGTTGCTATGGGAATAAAGCCAACATCATGCATATGCTGTTTTTATAATTGTCACTTCTTAGTAGTCAAAAAATGCTGACAAGGAAGATGTAGAACTTATTGATAGTTTTTGTTTCATTTGGTATGACCCGGGAAATACAGCAAAAGGATCTATAATCTTACCAGGAACCATTTTCCAGCTGCCCTACACCCAAATTCTAATTCCAGTTTTTGTTTTATTTTCCTTCTGTTCTTATCTTGTTTTTAAATCCTTAACACATTGTATTTGTGTCCTTTGAACGTCAGATTTAAATAAGATGTATGGTTGTTACGTTTCTCGAGAACATATGGTAAATAAACATTTCCTCGCCATTCCTCACGAGCTTCTGGAGTGTGTTTTCCTGCATATGGCAGAAAAATCACAAAAGATAATTACTAAGGGGTCTCATTTATTCATTCACGTCTTGCTAACTTTGCATGACAATAAGAGCTAGCTCACGGATAATGAATCCTCTCCAAAAAGGACTCATTTACAAGACGAAAAGGTCAATTTGGCCCAATGTTTTGTAATTTGTCTCTCTTTTAATTTGTTTTAAGGTGGAGGAGCTGCTTAAAAGTAACCCCATGGACCAGGCATGTCAAACCAAGGCCCGTGGGCCAAATGCGGCCCACTGTTTCATTTTATGTGGCCCTCTGCTTTGCAAATACAAACTATCCATTGTGGCACTTTAACAAAGTCATCCAGCCAACTCCACCAGTATAGTCCTGCTGCACCTTAAAGCTCTGAACCTTTGGAGTTTTGGCCCTCACTTTATTTGTATATACTGTCATTTGTTTTCAATCGTCTTCCAAAATGACACCTGTGTAAAAACAGTTTAAGAATGATGTCGGCTCCTGGACAAATTTGGTGAACGTGGCCCCCCTACTAAAAAGTTTGGACACCCCTACCATAGACAATCTTTGGAGGGTGTTGCCCAGCGACAGTCCAAAAACATCACTGCTCTAGAAGAGATCTGCATGGAGAAATGGTCCAAAACACCAGCAAAAACCTTCTGAAGACTTACAGAAAACATTTGACCTCCGTCATTGCCGACAAATTGCATATGACAAAGTAATGAGATGGACTTTTGTTATTGACTAAATAATAATTTCCACCATAATTTTATGAAAAATAATCATTGTCAAATCAGTGTGATTTCTGGATTTGCTTTTTGCCTCATAGTGGAGGTGAACCTATGATGAAAATTTCAGGCATCTCTGACTAAATACTTTTTTGGCCCACTGAACACAGGTTTGGGATTAAAAAAAAGGAATTTCAATGAGAACCACACAATCTGCAAAATAAATAAATAAACGGAATCACTGCTCCGGACGTTGATGTTGACCTCATTTACTCATATATACACATTTATCAACACACTCTGACATGACGCCAATTGCAGACATGTTCCCCACCCTCAGACACATCCTGAATATACAGTATTTGAATCAACGAAAAAGATTGAAGCTGAAACTGTGTACGGTAAGTCTGGAGAGGTCAAACCCAGTGTCATGAGTTTGTGAAATACGACTTGTGCATTTAGTGCATATGAATCTGTGTCATTGCTCAATCAATGAGTGATGAGGGAATGGAACAAGGGCAGCCGGTCATAAGACAGCAGTCCTCCTCCAACCACAGCAGAGAAGCAGCAGAGACAGAAGTGTGCACATCGGTGAGTGAACCAGTGTTATCGCCAATTCATCTCATTTCAAAGGGGTATCTGCTTATCAAGGAAGTAAGTAAGTAATCTTTATTTCTATACCGCCTTTCATAGACCAGAGTCACAAAGCGGTTTACAATTGTGGGCATCAAGTGTTAAATGTGAGAAAATTAGGGCCGTGTAAAAGATTATTTTGATAATAGATAAGTTGAGCAATTATGCATTTGATCAATCAAGTCAATTAGTTGCTTGAGTCACGAAAGGTCAGTAAATATGGGACTTTTAAACAACTTTGACCAAAACAAAGCTAAAATGATCCCCCTTTCTCCAAAGCGAGATAAAACAAAATTTACTTACGTGATTAATATGTATAGTATATGTGTTTTAAAGTTACTTCTGCAGAGATTACAGCTTTGTTGGAGTCATGAAAGATTCTCACAGTGTTATTAAGTCTATTTATTACAAAACAAATAGTAAATAACTGAATGCCATTCATTGATATACTTGTAACTACCTGGGAGAGAATGATTTAGAATGAATAGTAGGACACAAGCCATATGTGAAAATGTGACATGTCAAGGAGAAAATAACGGTGCAAACAACATTGTCAAGATTGTTGTGCTACTAAATATTATTGTGACGTGTTTTTCTACTTCTGATATTTTCCTCAGTTGTATCCCGCAGATCATTGGGCCTCCTCTACAGCATGGTCAAACTCAGGTCCGTAGTGTTGCTGGTGGCAGTGCTGATGTTTAGGGACGGAGCGAGGGCCTTCATGCCGCTCCTCTCTCTGAGCGGGAACTCCAGCACTCACCAGGACATCACCAGGCGGGCCGTCCTGTGGAAGACTGCGGAAGTGTGCAGGGATATGGCGGCTGCTGACGGACGCCCCTTCAGCCTCACGGTAAAGAATTGATCAGATTTGGTGTTCATTTTGCATTAAAAAAATTACTATAAAATTACTGATACTTTTTTAGCGTTTTTTTTTTCTTTTTAAAATAATGGTGGGAATCCAATAACTTTCTGAAAACATTTATTTGTAAACATTTTAATTAGGATTATTTATGAGACCATATAGTTTATAATTCACTCATGTTTTTATTGTGATTCTGATATCAAAATAAGTAGGTTGGTGAGTGCTTTACTTGGTTGACACGTTAATAGTGAGACAATATTTTACACTACATTTATTACATAATTCATTATGAAATAAAAAGTACCATGTTTTGGCAATGTTGATGTTGTAATACAAAGCAATTATTGTCAGTTTATTATTATCCCACACACATTTTAATTTGAATACGTAATAATGCACAAGATAGTGATGGGAAGTTTTTAGATTTTTGAAAAAAAAGGTGTGGTAAATGCGAAAGTGGCGTAAAAGACTATGATATACTGCATTATTTATCTTCCCCAACCAATCCAATGGATGTTGGAGCTGCAGCAATTTGTGGCTATCACTTTCACTCATTGCTTTTCTGGCCACTCTTCCAAGAGCGTCTGGGATCTAGCACAAAATGGCTATGATTGTGGATATAATTATAGCACATTTTTGTGATATTCAATAATGTAATTCCTATAATCTCAATAATCATAATTTGTGGGTTTTCCAGATTGACAGCTCGCTGACAGTGGAGAAGGTGCAGGCCGCGTGTGCAGGGAACTCCACGGCGGTGCTGTCCACGGTCACGTACCAATCCGCTATTGCCGCCATGTACTTTAGCAACGCACTGGTCGACGTGGTCTACGCCCTCAGCGAGGAGCACCACTTTGATGACGAGTTATTTAAGGGAGGCAGAGAGGTCCTCACCAAAGGTTTGTACACAATTAAAGCTCGGTATCATCACAGAAATAAACAAATATCTATCAGTAGTTGATAATGTGGCTTTACATCCATAGATGTGGCGGCCGTGAAATCCAGTGTCAAAGAAGAGAATTTCATCGCTGGGCGGTTTGCTCTGGGGCGAGCGTGTCACACTCTGCAGGTACAAATACACAGATAACACAAGTTGACAGCCAAAAAATGGTCAGGGGTTTCTCAAATGATTTAGACTAATTTTGGTGTTCTGAGTCCGAATATCACATGCATTTTGCTCTATCAGGTCAACTTTTTGAGATACAGCCATAGTGTTACGGATTACGTACGTCTACGTTATTATGAATTCTCCTTATCAAATTTGATGGAGTAAATAAAAACTGAATGACTTTGGATACGTTGACTTTTATTTCTTGAGGAAAACAGAAAAAACGTCAAGGGTTTCTCAGCTGATGATCCGCAGAAATTTGTTTTTTACGCAAAATCGATTACAAAAAATATTTCTGTAGCAAAAAATCCTGACCTGATTGAGCAAAACCAAGGTCATTTTTGGACTCAGAGCATCAAAATTAGTCTAATTCAGCTGGAAAACCCTGGACTATTTTCTAAAAATATTTTTTTGTTACCCAGTGTAATCAATAAATCAATCAACTTTTATTTGTAGAGCACCTTTCCTAGACAACGTAACACAAAGCGCCTCACAACCCGTATCTCAACAGGCATAAATCATAAACACTCAAATCTACATAAACATGAAAAAATTACAATTAAAATCCCACAGGGCATTAAAAAAAACACACGAGAGTACAAGAATTATTAAAAACATTCAAATCACACATGGGATTAAAATCATAAATAGCCAAAGTGCATCAAAAAAGATCAAATTAAAATCATAGTTACATTTTACGTATGAATACTGGTGGGAAATAAATCTATTGTGATTTGCACTTGCATAATGGTTTGCGAGGGGCAAGTCAGAAATGGCAGCAATGATACACGAGTTCTTGAATCCAGGACACAACCTTGCTTCCAACCAATGCTTCCCTAAAATTGTTGTAGATATTTATCTTTCACTTTTATCTGGTATTGATTTTTGAAGTCTTTTTTGGGGCTCCACCATGAGTGTGTTTCAGTTCAAATTTCAAAAGAAAAACTCTGGCATCTGAAGGGTCATATGTTGGGTGCTGGAACTATTTTGTTTTTATATCACTTTTTTATCACTTCTACCTGCGCACGTATCACACACACACACACTGAAACCACCAGTACATGTCAAACAGCACTTGTTCTTTTGTTTGTGAAGGACTTCTACAGCCACAGTAACTGGGTGGAGCTGGGAAAGACCTCTCCGTACAGCGCCCTCATCATTCCAGAACAGAACCTGGAGAACCTGGCAGGTGACGTCTGTTTGATAGAAATCTGTCTGTGTGTGTGTGACCGACCACATATGTCTTTTTTGTCAGCACTTTTTACGCCCTAATGCACTGGCAAACAAAATTCCAATGTCATTATTGTCACGTTGCAAAAGGAAATCAGCCCAAACTGCAAACTGCAAAATAAATGGCTTTGATAAAAAGTAGAACAAATAAATAATAGTACGTAGTAAACCAAAACAGAGGTGGGATGACAATGATGAAACAGAGAGTGAATGAATACACAGGGTTTACTGTAAAATACAAGACTAAAGAGACACAGGTGAGACACAAGAGGGCGGGGCAGGTAATAAGGAAACAGGAAGTCCAACTAAAGAAGTCACAGGGGGTTAAGAAATCACAAAATCAAAGCAGGAAATAAATCTTACTCAGTACGGGGGCAGAGAGTTATAACTCGATTAAGAATTGGGCTTACAGGACTGAATAACACAGACATGGTTCTTTATGGGGGCTTTGGGCAAAGTGGGGTTAAGTGTCTTGCCCAAGGACACAACGACAGCAGACATCAGTGGCAGAAGGTGTCAAGGTGGGAATTGAACCCATGACCTTTAGGCCTAAAGGCCAATGCTCTACCAACTGAGCTACTGTCGCCCCCTATTTGTAAAGTAGAATCAGAATCAGAATCAGAATCATTTTTATTGCCACGTAAGTAACAGGAGGTCACAGACTAGAAAATTGCTTTGGCTCAGTGCAACAGTCAAAAAGAGATAATAAAAATAAGAATAAAAAACACTTCTAAAGAATAAATTTAAATTTAAAATAGAGTTACAGTTACTATTTACAATATACAAGTGCACATGGTGCACACAATGTAAGGTGACAGCAGTACAGTGAAGTAAAGTGACGTATGATGGGCAGTAAAGTGACTTTATAAAGGGCGGGGGGACAGGTTAAGAAGTGTTCAAGAGTCCAACAGCAGAGGGGAAGAAACTGTTCTTGTGGCGGGAGGTTCTAGTCCTGATGGACCGCAGCCTCCTGCCTGAGGGGAGTGGTTGGAATAGTCCATGTGCAGGGTGAGAGGGGTCGGCTGTGATACGACCAGCCCGGCCTCGAGCTCGGGCGACGTACAGGTCCTGCAGCGATGGAAGGCTGCGGCCGATCACTTCCTCTGCAGAGCGCACAATGCGCTGTAGTCTCTGTTTGTCCCTGACTGTGGCTCCAGCGAACCACACAGTGATGGAGGAGGTGAGGATGGACTCGATGATGGCCGTGTAGAACTGCACCAACATCTGTGCAGGCAGCTTGGCTTTCCTGAGCTGCCGCAGGAAGTACATCCTCTGCTGGGCCTTCTTGATGAGGGAGCTGATGGTCGGCTCCCACTTGAGGTCCTGGGTGATGGTGATGCCCAGGAAACGGAAGGACTCCACAGAGGTGATGGGGGAGTCCATCACGGAGGGTGGGGGTGGGGGGACAGTGCTCTTCCTGAAGTCCACAATCATCTCCACTGTCTTCTGGGCGTTCAGCTCCAGGTTGTTACCACTGCACCAGGACACCAGCCGGTCCACCTCCCTCCTGTAGGCGGACTCATCGTTGTTGGAGATGAGTCCAATAAGGGTGGTGTCGTCCGCGAACTTGATCAGCTTCACGGAGTCGTGGCTGGAGGTGCAGTGGTTGGTGTACAGGGAGAAGAGCAGGGGAGAAAGAACACAGCCCTGTGGGGCTCCTGTATTTATAATCCGAGAGTCTGAGACATTCTTCCCCAGACGCACTCGCTGCTTCCTGTCCGTCAGGAAGTCAGTGATCCACCTGCAGGTGGAATCGGGCACGTTGAGCTGGGAGAGCTTGTCCTGGAGCAGGGATGGCAGGATTGTGTTGAAGGCAGAGCTGAAGTCCACGAACAGGACCCTGGAGTAGGTCCCCGGGGAGTCCAGGTGCTGTAGGATGTGGTGGAGGGCCAGGTTAATGGCGTAGTACAATAAATATAAATATGCAGTACATCATAATACATACTGTATATTTGTATGGTTTTTGTCTTTACTTCTGTGGTCTTTTGTGTTTAATATGGACATCTGATTTGAAGATTAAAGAGTACAAAAGGGATGGTTCATATTTTCATGTTTTAATATAATATTCTTTCTTCTGACTGATTATTCTTTAGGAACAAGTGTGAGGACATGTCAGAACTGTACTAACGGGGACTGTACCAACAACATCTTGCCTGATGTGCTGCAGCAGGGCCTGCTCACCTCCGGATACTTCAACATATTCTCCTCAGAAAAACCTGCAGGTTCTTTCAGTTTTCTTGACGGTTTAAAGCTGGGGTACCTAACTTTCCAACCAATGTACCGTCCATGTGACTAGTATCTCGATCTAGTCTTTTGCTAGGTTTTAGATCTTTAGACCAGCCTTTTCAGACAGAAAAGTGGAACAGAGAAGACTTTACTCATTATAAGTTTCTTACATCAGTATGACGTGTTCTGATTTGTTCACAGTATTTGTTAATACAGTCAATCCTGACAAAATCACATGGACAAAAGACATAGTTCAGTCATTCTTTAATACTTGGTTGCCTTTCCAAGGAGACATGTCTGATGAGAACAGAGCACAGTTCAGTGCACAGAAGTATAGAAGGAGACATCTCCACTTCCACACAGTCACAGCGTCACAACAAGACCTTTGGTATTTAGCATATCAATCAAAGAAGCAGTGGCCAGGCCTAGTCTAGTCCCATCTGCATATAACCCCCGTGTCCTGGCTGGAGCTAACAGTGAATACAATAATATTTAGCCACATATTACTCTATTACTTGAATTACATATTACTACATTAAAAAGATAAGTTAAAAACATTCCAATCACAGTATTTTACATTACAAGATTGTTATCCTTATTTTTATTTATTTATTGCATAGTACAATTTCAAATAATTGTAGTCTTGTGACGCAAATGAAAAGGAGCAGAAAGAAGAGGATAAAAAAATTAAGATGAAGATAAAGATCATTTGTTCTCATACATGTGGATATATGGAAACCTTTTATTTATTATTATTTGGGACAAAAAATTATAACGTGTTAGTTACCCCCAGCATTGCAATTGCATTTTTGTTCAGTGGCATTATTTATTTTATTGTCAGTCAGTGTGCCCCAGGGCAGCTGTGGCTACAGCAGTAGTTTATCACCACCGTGTATGGAGTGAATGAATAATGACACATGTGAAGCGTCTTTGAGTGTCCAAAAAAGCGCTATATAAAACCGATGCATTATTATTATTATTATTATTATTCTCTGCAGGTAAATGTAGTCATGGAGGGTCTTTTGATAAAACCCGGACCAGCGATGCCACTGGGGGCATCAGTAAGGACACTCTGACCTCCAGTCATGGAAGTCTCCATCCACAAGCCGCCACCCTGGCTGTGAACGCCACTGTGGAGCTGCTGGAGGACATCAGGCTGGCTGTGGGAGACAAGGACTTTCTCAGGTTCATGTCCAATCTATTTCTTTTGTACTTAAAGCTCAGGTACCTAACTTGATGGAACTGTAAAAATAGAATCCAGCAAGGTGTGGTTTTCTCATTGATCTACTCAGGGACAACAGGTGTGAAGTAGTGCAACCTGGTACAATGCATTCCTTCGTTGGCCAATATTTTATTTTTAAGACTATTTGTCTTGGAACAAACTGAATACAAAAAATGTAGGTATCACATTTTTAATTTTAAAGGAGCAGTATGTAAAAATCTGGCCAAAAGTGGAACTGAAACCTTTTCCCACTCTCCCTGACTCAGGTGGCCAGTGGGGGCAGGTCCCGGCTCAAAAGTGGCCAAAAGGACGTGCAATGACATGCTTGCAATACCACCCCGGGCCGATGGGGGTGGACCCGGAAATAGAATTAGCCAATGCTAACATATAGCATTGGCAGACCTCTCGAAAACGTCTTTACAGGATGGACCAAAAGTTGGCTCTTGGCCCAAAGCTCCGTTCCACATGTGTGTCAATGCTGAGGGGGGTGATTTTTTTGGTCCACTCTAGTTTACTCGCTGTGAAGTCTCTCGTTCAAATGAATGGAGCTGCGCCGGCTGACGCATGCACAAATGCGTTTTTTTCACAATTTTCTTGTGGGCGGGCTCACTCGCGGCCATTTTGGATAGCTCCAGTAGAGCACATTTTTTGGCCCATTAGTTAGAACGGCGGAGATAGGCGTGACTTTGTCCGTTAATATATACAGTCTATGATGCAGACGAATCCAGCCGGGACCATAATATCTGAATAGACAAGAGTCTTGTCAAAAGCAAATCTACAACCAACACCTTTTTCACTAAGGCCCGAATTGAAATTCTGGTTTTATTTTATGTTTTGTCATAAAATGATTTGAGAACCATAACGAGCATGCTACTTTACCATTGAGATTAGCCAGACGTTGTGAGTTCTGGCAACCCGGATCACGGACTTTCTGATTGGTAAAACAGTGGAGGGCGGGACATTGAAATGAAAATAATAACAAGTTTTCAGGGCTTTAAAACTAATTTAGAAATTCAAATATCTCGGCTGAACTACTTTTGTCAGTTAAAGAAGTATTGGAAAAGAAAAGGGTTTATGATTTCCTTTTGTCATACCGAGGCCATTTAATGATGAATTGACACAAAAATCTAACATATTGCTAGTTTACCACATATATATAGATGAATAGATTCAAATGCATTAGAGTTGGGTCTGTCTGGATGGTTGAATATGCTGTTTTATCACAGTTGAAGTAGTTTGTATTGAAATATGTTGCTGTGGTCTCTGCAGGCTGATGGGTCTGTCCCAGTCCACTGTGCTGTGCTTCGTCATTGATACCACTGGCAGCATGTCCGATGATATCGCAGAGGCAAAACGAGTGTCTTTTGAAATCATTGACCGTAAAAGAGGAACCCAACAGGAACCGTCTGCTTATATTCTAGTGCCATTCAATGACCCAGGTACAAAAGTGTTTTACTCATCAGATATTGCGGAACCTGACCCATATTTTGTACCGTGGACCCTAGTTATATCTGTGTGACTGCTAAACATAATTATTTGAAGCACTGTACGTCTTGGTTTTACAGATCTTGGTTTTAAAAAAAAAGAAAAAAAAGAAACAGTCTTCTGTCTGTGACATTATTACTTCAGACAAAGATGTTTAGAGGTACTGTAGTTGTTTACAGTACAAAATATGGGCCAGGTCCACGTTATGTTTCTTCATTCTTAAACATAGCTATGAAATGATCATGTGTGTGATGCCTGCAGGGTTTGGACCTCTGGTAAGGACCACAGACGCAGACAAATTCAAAGCTGAAATCAACAAACTCTCTGCAAGTGGAGGAGGGGACATCCCCGAGAAGTGCCTGTCTGGGTTACAGGTGTGCACACATGAGGCGCTGGAATCTGAATGTTTTGTGGGACATTGTTATGCATTAGATCACTAGATCACTCTTGATATTATATTCTTTTTCTTCTTTAATTTACAGCTGGCCCTGACGGCTGCGCCCCCTTCATCTGAGATCTTTATCTTCACTGATGCTCCTGCCAAGGACGCGGATCTGAAAAGTACTATAAATGCTTTGATCGAGAGCACCAAGTCAGTGGTAAGAGGACACATAATTCAGCAGTGATGCACATTACATCACTAAAGCATTAGCTAAAGCTGGCTACAGACTACAGAAGTGTTTGTCTCATTAGATGTTAAGTCAGGATACAGACCAAAGACATTAGGATAATCTGAAAAGATTTTCTGTCTCTGTATACTCTTGCAAGTCCTGTAATAAGGACATGGCTGCATCCAAATTCAACACCTACAGTACGTCTCTGCCCTTTATCTAATTTTAAATATAAAATATATATATTAAATATCAATCAATATTTTATTTGACTTATTCAAAAACATTTATTTAGTTTACTTGAAAAATCCTGGACTAACATTGGGCCTCATTCACGAATAACTTCGTAAGAAACTTCTTAAATTTCTTCTCAAGTCGTTCTTAAGTAGATTTCTAAGAAGACCCTACGTGGGATTCATCAACGCGCTCGTAAGGCGCTGAATTGTTCGCAGCTGTTCTCTTAGATTGATGAATGCCATTTCCTCGTAAGTACAGCGCGCGTGCCCGGTGATTCATTAGCATAGGTACTTAGCATAGGTAACCGCCCATTAATGCCCATATAAGGGACTACAGGGCCGTGTGCAGACGCCAGAGGAAACAGCAACAGGCCTAAAGCAAAGAGTTACGCGGAGCAAAAGAGTCACCCTTTTTTCTTCTTTTGCCAGATAAATAAATAAATAAAGTTATAAAATTTTGACTTAAAAGTCGAAATATTATGAGAATAAAGTCGAACTAGCAAAATTATGAGATTAATCTAAGAATATGATGAGATTAATCTCAAAATGTTATGAGCTTAATTTAAAAATATATTATGTATTATTTTAAAGATGAATCTCAAAATGTTTTGAGATTAATCTCAAAATATTTTGGACCCTGGGAGGAGATCCAGCGCGGACCAGCGCTGAGACCAATGCAGACCCGAGGAGAGACTGGAGTGACCAGCACACAGAAACCAGAGCGGACAGGAGAGACCGCATAGACTGGAGTGACCTGACTGGAGAGACCGGTGCGCAGAGACCAGCGCGGACCGAAGAGAGACCGCATAGACCAGACTTGAGAGACCAGCGCGGACCCGTATGGATCCAGGAGCATGCAGCACGGACCCGTATGGAGAGAGACCAGTGCAGACCCGTCTAGAGCCATGGGAGAGACCAGTGAAGACCCGTCTAGATCCATGGGAGAGACCAGTGAAGACCCGTATAGATCCATGGGAGAGACCAGTGCAGACCCGTATAGATCCATGGGAGAGACCAGGGCAGACCCGTATAGATCCATAGGAGAGACCAGTGCAGACCCGTATAGATCCATGGGAGAGACCAGTGCAGACCCGTAAAGATCCATGGGAGAGACCAGTGCAGACCCGTATAGATCCATGGGAGAGACCAGTGCAGACCCGTATAGATCCATGGGAGAGACCAGTGCAGACCCGTATAGATCCATAGGAGAGACCAGCGCAGAGACTCAGCGCGGACCCCGTAACCTCCTGCAGCAGCATATATGCCGTTGTTCTGTGACCCGTGGATAAAGAAATTCCCCCTATAAATAGGAAGGGGTCACTAATACACGGCAGATTTCCAATGTATTTGATAAAGCGTTGGCACATTTCATTTCAAAATGAATAAAAAAATAGGCCAGATCTGCAGTGAAAAAGGCGGTATATAAATAAAGATTACTACAAATAAATAAATACATACATCGATATGACGGACATATCACTGGAATGTTGTGTTTTATTGAACTTCATAACACCAGCGTGCGAACATGTCGGCACTGAATGCGTACGAGTGCTCCTGAGGACTCGTAGGATTTGTACTTGCCCAAGAGAAATTCTGGTTACGAGAAAAATTCGCGAATGCCACTTTCTTCGTAAAAACCTCGTAAGTAGGATTTACGTACAAATCTGTTCCTAAGAACCGTTCGTGAATGAGGCCCATTCTCTCCTCAATGTCAATTGCATTGGACAAGGAAGGAGGTTTAATATGAATGCAGCCAGTGAATGTAATGAACAGCAGCAGTTTCCTGTAAGGGCTCTGGGAGCTGCCAATCAACACTGCTTGAACACTGTTCACTGTGGGTCTGGTTTTTCCAGTGCAGTTTGTTGTTTTGGACACAGATATGATGCATTATGAAGTGCTCAGCTTTGCAGACATCTGTTGTGCACAGTACATTGCAAACAGCCGAATAATTGCCTTTTGCAACAATCTCCTGGTTGGTTGTCCTTATTTGTTCTGTAGCAGCTTGATAGCTTGTAGAACAAACTAGCAAATTGTATAGCAATTCTGATTTGTTTGTATGCTGTTTACATATGTACAGTGCCTTGCGAAAGTATTCGGCCCCCTTGAACCTTTCAACATTTCGCCACATTTCAGGCTTCAAACATAAAGATATGAAATTACAAATTTTTGTCATGAATCAACAACAAGTGGGACACAATCGTGAAGTGGAACGAAATTTATTGGATAATTTAAACTTTTTTAACAAATAAAAAACTGAAAAGTGGGGCGTGCAATATTATTCGGCCCCTTTACTTTCAGTGCAGCAAACTCACTCCAGAAGTTCAGTGAGGATCTTTGAATGATCCAATGTTGTCCTAAATGACTGATGATGATAAATAGAATGCACTTGTGTGTAATCAAGTCTCCGTATAACTGCACCTGCTCTTTGATAGTCTCAGGGTTCTGTTTAAAGCGCAGAGAGAACCATGAAGACAAAGGAACACACCAGGCAGGTCCGAGATACTGTTGTGGAGAAGTTTAAAGCCGGATTTGGATACAAAAAGATTTCCCAAGCTTTAAACATCTCAAGCAGCACTGTGCAAGCAATTATATTGAAATGGAAGGAGTATCAGACCACTGCAAATCTACCAAGACCCGGCCGTCCCTCCAAACTTTCATCTCAAACAAGGAGAAGACTGATCAGAGATGCAGCCAAGAGGCCCATGATCACTCTGGATGAACTGCAGATAACTACAGCTGAGGTGGGAGAGTCTGTCCATAGGACAACAATCAGTCGTGCACTCCACAAATCTGGCCTTTATGGAAGAGTGGCAAGAAGAAAGCCATTTCTCAAAGATATCCATAAAAAGTCTTGTTTAAAGTTTGCCACAAGCCACCTGGGAGACACACCAAACATGTGGAAGAAGGTGCTCTGGTCAGATGAAACAAATCGAACTTTTTGGCCACAATGCAAAACGATATGTTTGGCGTAAAAGCAACACAGCTCATCACCCTGAACACACCATCCCCACTGTCAAACATGGTGGTGGCAGCATCATGGTTTGGGCCTGCTTTTCTTCAGCAGGGACAGGGAAGATGGCTAAAATTGATGGGAAGATGGATGGAGCCAAATACAGGACCATTCTGGAAGAAAACCTGTTGGAGTCTGCAAAAGACCTGAGACTGGGACGGAGATTTCTTCCAACAGGACAATGATCCAAAACATAAAGCCAAATCTACAATGGAATGGTTCACAAATAGACGTATCCAGGTGTTAGAATGGCCAAGTCAAAGTCCAGACCTGAATCCAATCGAGAATCTGTGGAAAGAGCTGAAGACTGCTGTTCACAAACGCTCTCCATCCAACCTCACTGAGCTCGAGCTGTTTTGCAAGGAAGAATGGGAAAGAATTCCAGTCTCTTGATGTGTAAAACTAATAGAGACATACCCCAAGCGACTTGCAGCTGTAATTGCAGCAAAAGGTGGCGCTACAAAGTATTAGCGCAAGGGGGCCGAATAATATTGCACGCCCCACTTTTTGATTTATTAAAAAAGTTTAAATTATCCAATCAATTTCGTTCCACTTCACGATTGTGTCCCACTTGTTGATTCTTGACAAAAAATTTAATTTTTATATCTTTATGTTTGAAGCCTGAAATGTGGCGAAATGTTGAAAGGTTCAAGGGGGCCGAATACTTTCGCAAGGCACTGTATATGTACATATAACTATGACTATTGTTGTCACATCTGGTAATATACTCACAAAAAAGAATGATTGAAGTTGTGTTTCTATAACAAACACAGAAAATCACCCTTGGAATGAGAAACAAGATCGAACAAATGTACAAAATTGTTTTTTCTTATTATTGGTGCAATCTGGAATCCTCGATTATGATGTGAAATATTGGATTTCATTGCTGCACAAAAACAGATTAACAACAACAATGTGTTAGTTTGAGTTTGATGTGTACTTCTTGTTCTTGTTTGTGTGTTGCAGGTGACCTTCATGTTAACAGATGTCATATCACGGCGCAGGAGGAGTGGGGAGAGCAGAGCACCGCGGGCCATGAGCCAGGCCGACGCCCAGCTGTACCGGGACCTGGCCAAAGCCTCCGGGGGGCAGGCCATCGAGGTCACCAAGAGTGACCTGTCCGCAGCCACCACCGTCATCGAGGACTCCTCCACCAGCGCAGTGGTGAGCTCAGAGCCACTGAGTCTTCACTTCCATCCACAACAATATATATTATGGAAATAATGTGAAATTGTTTTATTTTTTATCAGGTTAATGTTTTCCAAGTGGTGAGTCCAGGAAAACCAGAGAAATTCAACTTTACTGTGGACGGATCCATACAAAACATGACTTTGTACGTCACTGGCACAACATCTCTCACCTTCAATCTCTCCAGTCCTTCAGGTAAAAACGTTTTGGTTCAAAAAGTTACAAAAAATAAGTTTATTAATGTCATGAAGTAGGCTTAAAGTATCTTGTGTAAATGTGTATGTATGTACAAAAAGTTCAGAATTGATTTGTACATGTGACCTGGTGACAGATATGTAAAAAGAAAATATTACATACTGCCCCTTTAATTGCCGTACATTTGGATTGTCTTAAAACACAATTTGCCAATGGGACAAAGATCAAATTAAAAGATGATCGGATTAAATGTATAATTGCAACTGCACCTGATAAAAGACTGAGCTGCATGTGCCATAAACGTCCCCAAATTTAGTTTTTTAAGTCAAACAAAATGTATTAGATTCATACTTCCTTTACTCTATATTTTCTGCAGTGAGAAATGTTGTAAGTTAATAATCAAATGTTCCTTCTGTCTTCCCCCTTCTGTTTTCTGCAGGTGTCTCTCAGAGCTCCACTGAGACCAGCGGACCTCTGGCTTCAATGACCACAGCTGGAAACCTCCGCCGTCTGAGCTTCAACGCCGACAACCAAACAGGATTGTGGGAAATTGAAGTCAACTCCAACGACCCTTATTCTGTCAAAGTCATAGGTCTGTGGTTTGAGTTAGATGCAGAGGATAAAGCTGGCACAAAGATGGAAACATGTATTTTCTTTTAAGATAAGAGAAACATTATTGTCCCAAAGGAAATGAGTGAGAAACAGTGCTACACAGATCTGCATCCATAAATAAGAATGAAAATAAAAAGGATTATTACAGGAATAAAACATTGACAGAAGTGCAGCAGCGCTTTGACGTCGCTGTTGGGTCCAATTCCACGTCAAAATAAATAATAGGTCCTGGATTTAAAGCAATCAAAAATGAATAAATGTTATATCTAAATGAACTATTAGATATTTTTGTTTAAAGCTGGAGTACTTAACTTGTGTTTTGCATATTCATCTCTGTGAGTCACAATCTGTCATTATTGCCAATTTTTGAGCGACCTGTGCAGAAATGTAGAAGTGTAACTGGATTCTTTTTGCTTGTTCATAACAAAGAAACCTTAACTGTTATGATCTGAAAAATACAGGAGAATTTATTATGTTCCTCATAATAAAACATGCTTGTCCATATGAAAAAGAGAGGACCACCCTCGGCCCTCTCTTTTTCATGTCATAAAAATATATCAAAAGGTGTAAGAGGCCAAAACATAAACGCATGTTAAAACTAATGATAGAAGACATGCACTCCAGCTTTAACTTTCAAAGTTTACATAATATTGCCTCAGTTTTCTCCTTTTTTTTTCATTCATAATATTCAATTTATTTTTGTACAGCCCTAAATGACATCAGTAGTTATCTCAGAAAACTTTACAAAATGTCGTCAAAACAATCAGAGAATCAAGCAGTTCAAACACAAGAAACGCAATTAGAAAAAAACACATACAGCCGTAAAGGGCGGATGACCAATGTCCATAACAATATCCTTCTCCCATAATAAACACATTTTGTTTATTTTTGTTTTCCCACTATGCTCCCCTTGGCCAAAAAATGTAAAAGAAAACAAAGAAAAAATAAAATAAAAGACACAAGCAAAAAAAATATAAACAAAGTGAAAATCATTATATAGAAAAATAGAAAAACGATTTGATGACTGTTTCTATAGATATATATTATTTACCAGTATGACATCAAAATGATTAAATAAGATAACAGTGCAATGTGTTCTGTTACTGCTTTCATTTAATAGACATATACATTTAAATGTCTCTGTCATAAGCGGTAAACAATAATCCATTCTCTCTCCGTTCGTTTCTCGCACAGGTCAGAGCTCTGTGAACTTTATCTATAACTTAATCGAACCCCATGAAGGAGCACATGGAGACTACAGCCTGAAGGAGGGACGTCCTCTCACTGGTAAGAACAAACTCGCTCACATTATCTGTAAACCGCTAGATTATTATTATTATTATTATTATATATGTACTATGTCTGAACTATACTGCAAAAATGCTCTTTTAGCATGATTCAAATACTTTTTATTGTCATATGAGTGTATTTTGTTTTGTCTTTGAAACAAGATTTGCCAAGAATGGTCAAGCAAGTGGGAAATATTTGCTCATTCCAAGTGACAAGTTGCTTTTGTCAGTCATGGTACTATTTGTCAATGGGACGTCAAGAAAAATGCAGCCCTTTCTCATAGTGTGTTGAGAAGTGGGTTGTATCTATAAAAAAAACTAAAATGCCTTTAAATGATCAAAAACTCTTATGGTTTTGACAGCATTGATATAATATTATTGTGCAAATATATTTTAAAACAAGCATGTGCTGGTACACTGGGGTAGTCTTGCACAGTTTTTCCAATGTGGTTTTACTGCAAATTGCAAATAAATTCTTGTATCTTGTACCTAAAAATACAATGTATAGTATATGAATGTTACAGCTACCACAGCATGCAAATGACACTATAACACTTTCAATTATCCTGTTATTTCATTTACAGCATGTCCTTTTCCCCTTGCTTCATGTCCTTGTGTTCTTGTTCTCCTCCTCACAGGCGGAAACGCTACAGTGTTGGTGACTGTTACAAGTGACGCAGTGAAAATCACAGAGATCACACTGTTCGACAGCGCGGGGCCCACTGAGCTCAAAGGGACAATGCTGGTCTGTCATATCAGATATACAGTAATGACCTCAAATGGCAAATATAAAAACAACTTTGTTCATAATATTTGCTTCTCCCCACAGCCACAGAGCGATGGGAACATTGTGGTGACCTTCAGTAACATCCCAGCTGGAGACTTTGTGCTCCGTATAAAAGGAGAGGGCAGCGCCACCTCCAGGGCGACGCCAACAAGTTTCCAGCGACAGGCTTCCACTCAACTCAAGCCCTCGAGTATCTCTGTCACCGTAAGATTCTTTTGTACATAACAAACTTTAGTTTCATTGAAAATGTGATAGAAAAGGGTGCTTGGGAAAGTTAGAAACTTTTTGTATCTATTTTTAAAATAAAAAAACTATTATGCACGATCACAAAGAAACTTATTTGGATAGTAGTAGTGGTAGTGGTGGTAGTAGAGGATAGCAGTAGAATATTTCTCAATTTGATTCAACAGTCAATCATCCCAAACCAATTACAAATACAGACTGTGTTCTTTGTGAATCCGTAAATATAATTCAAAAATGAAAGATACAAATTTGACTGCAAATGACAAAACATTTCTCATCTGGCTTTTATTTGCCATTGCTTGAGAGAGGCATGAGAAGCAGCTTCTTAATTACATTTATTTGTGTTTAGCTCTAAATCACAACAGTGGTTGTCTCACAGGACTTTACAAAGTTGTTGATTCATCAATAACAGATCAGAGAATCAACGGTTTGAACAAAGGAAATGCAATAATAACAGGCGCAGATTTATGATCAAAGTCAACACATGTTAATACATGTGCATAGATGTTCATATGTCCCTAAATGCCCTGGATCATCACTGACCTCAGACGCTCCTGCATCAACAAGACTCAAAAAAATAAAATAAAAAGAAGTAAAGAAACCTTGGGGAGGCTCACACAGAGAGAGAGCAGACAGACAGGCTATATCCAGAACTTGGCCAGATTCATCATCCCTTCATTGTCCTTTTGTGATTTGTTGTATTTTCTCTGTCCTTGGCAATGTTGCATTCAGATACAATCCTGTGTGAAATGTGCCATATTGTAGAAAAAAATGACAGAGGCAGCAGCATTCTCAGGTATTTGCACCTTTAGTTTATTTCCAAGCCTTTTCAGACAGAACAGAAGAAAACACAGCCTTATATATGATGTGAAGCAATGTGCATCAGAAATAGTCAGACCAGAGATGCCAGACCATCATAACACTGAGAACAGACAATCCAAATTTAACCAAGGTCTGCATTGCCTTACATTCATTTAATCTTATTCTTTGAATATTGCTCATGTGTGTCCTGGCTCTGTTTAAACATGCTGGTCAGATTCCACACTATGAGTAAATTATCTTCTTCTCACATTAAGGCCCAAGTGAACAGCTCCTCCATCGAGCCGGGCTCCTCGCTCTCCGTTCCCTTCACAGTTGCCTCCACTTCCAACGGGGCGGTGAACCAAAATGCGTCTGGGACGATCACGGTCAAGGCCCAAGACGACCGCGGTTACACCTCCAGCCCAACGACCAGCGTCACCTTGAGCCAGGGCACGGCCAGCAGCGTGGTCACCCTCGCCGTCCCGTCCACGGCTGCAACAGGCACAGACGTGACCCTCACCATCACCGCTCAGGACTCCTCTGCCTCCGACATCAACTTCACCGTGCTCCGCTTTTCTGTGGCTGCGAAGGTGAGAGCGACGTCTGTCTGTTATCACTGACAGCGCTGCATGGGCTTCTGATAGAAAAGAGGAAATTCCTCAGTAATTTTTTTTTTTTTTTTTATTACTTAAAAACTTCAGATTCACTGAGATTAATTTTAACTGGTCACGCCATGATTCATGATTTGATTTTCGTAGATGATTAAACATGCCATGCCTACCCATTCACTCATTTATTTTGACTATAAACAAGTGTCCTATAGCTACTAAAACTTGATGGAGTCAAATGAATAAATCCATGAAATGTGCTTTGAGAACTATATCACAAACAAAATACACATATTAGCCACAACACTGTATAAACTGCAGGGTTCAAAGAACTAGAAAAAAGCAGCGGCTTATAGTCCGGAAATTACGGTACTCTTGTTTTACAATTATGTTTTGTATTATCATATAATTCCCCAGTGTGTTGCTCTGATGCCACAGTGTATGTGTCTGTATGTGCAGGTGACAGACGTGAAGCGGCCAGTGTGTGAGGTGGTCACTTCAGGAGACTGCTCCTCCTCCGTCTGCTCGTCCGCTCAGTGGGGGCTGTCCGCCAACATCAGCGACGGCGTGAATGGAACGGGCATCGACAGTGTGGCCTTGAAGCAGGGCACTGGGACCCTCAACATCAGCACCACTGCATCAGGAGGTGAAACCATCACTGTGGCCACGTACACTGCCTCCTGCTGTTCGAAGAGCGTAGAGCTGAAGATTGTGGATAAAGTTGGGAATGTGCGGCTGTGCAGTGGCGAGTTCAAAGTGGCCACGACCGCGGCTCCAGCCGTGACCAACACCACGACCAACTCCACAGCTGCTGGCCTGCATACAGTCAGTGTCCGGCACTCTCTGTGGGTCAGTCTGCTGCTGCCTGTAGTGTGGTGGTACTGAACAGGGGGTATTATCACAGACTCTAGGAATGGACAATTCTAACCAGGCTCGTTATGAAGACCAATATGGAAGTGCTCAAGAGTTCACATTGATCGGCTTCTTTTGCGATAAGAAAAACACGACAGGTGATGTCAGCTCTGTCAGTCCACTTCTACTACAGTCTACATGGTTTTATGAAAAAATCTGACTTTTGGGACCATGTCAAAACTAAAGTGAATAAGTATACACTTTAACCATGTTATAGTGAACATAGAATTTTTATGATTTTAAGCATAAAAATTACCAACTAACTTAAGCATTTTAAGTTGGTTGGTCCTTATCTTGTTAAGCAGCTCTTGTCCAAAAAATAGAATGAAGTCACCTGCATAAGCTCTACATATGAAAAGATAAACTTTGTTGATCTCACAATGGAGATATGTACATGCTATACTTGATTTTACATGTGTCACCAAACAAATTAATATAATACACATTGACAAATACTAAATGCAATAAAAGTGCAAGACCCCATTTTTCGATAATGCTAAGTGAAGTTTGCAGGTTTGTTGACAAACACAAAAACAAGTGATTTATTTCTATTCCAGTTTCAATGTCGCCAGATTTGAGTATATGTCTTAATTTAAATGTACCTTGAATGTAAAAATGAGAAGATTTCAGCACTGCTTGTTTAAGCACATATATTTATCGTCGTTATAATAATAATAATAATGCATCGGTTTTATATAGCGCTTTTTTGGACACTCAAAGACGCTTCACATGTGTCATTATTCATTCACTCCATACACAGTGGTGATAAACTACTACTGTAGCCACAGTACAGTTTTCAATCGGGGTCTGATAAATATGGGAATCTTCATTTGTCAGAAATATGTACAAAGTTTGAAATAAAGTTTACAAATACTCTAGTGGTTTAATGCCTACATTTTTATTTATTCATTTTGAAAAACATGAGAACCATAAACACAAGGGCAATAAAAATACAACAAAAAGTGGAAGAACTCCAAATAACCTCCAGCAGCAATGATGGCACTTTAGAGAACCAAGCAGACTTCATACACAAGATCCAGCAAAGCAACAGCTGTTGGAAGATACAAGGGAACGGTCAAATCAAACATTGGTCCTTTCAACGGTCACTTTAACAATTTACCACAAAATCAAAACAGCAATTTAAAAACCTGATTGTTTCAAATGAACCAGTAACACTGAAAACAGTCACCTCACCGTAAAGAAAAACTTAAAAACAATTATTACACAGGATTTCTCCCTGTATTATCACCAGCATCAAAGTGCATCACTACAAAGAGTGGGTTTGAGTGTCTGCATCTATGACACAGACACTGTATTATAGATGCACAAACTTCATTAAAGAATCAGATAAGTTCCTGGTTTCCTTGCACATATTCATGTCAGTTATGAAACAGGTTCTGTAAGAAACATACGTTAGTAATAATTAATAATACATTTACAATACCCCATTTGTTACTCTTTTAAACAGAGCAGAGCACTAGCCTCCAGTTAAACACAAGTCAGACTGGATCTATCCCTGGGACCTACAGAAATAGTATGTACTTCAGTTTTTCTGTGATCCTTGGATAAGATTACAGCTTTATAGACATGGCATTATTACATCTGTGCCGCATTTATCTTGCCTGGCAAACTACTTCTGCAAGAAATGGAATGAACTCCTTCATACATTTTATTATGCAACTTGGCCTCTATACTCTTGAGATATTTTTATGTGAATAATATACCGATATCTCATTGACTTTTGCTATTGTATGAATGCATTTGTGCAGAGTTGGGGTATTCATTTTAATCACAGCAAATGTTTCCTTCATGAGCTAAATCATAAATGTTATTTCACCTCAGTGGTTTGCCAAGGGTCATTCCTTCCTTTGGGGCCTTTTCCCCATTTGAAACGTGACTTGCATTTTTATAAAGTGCTATTTTCTATGACAATCCTAATTACTCCTGTCTCTCAAACTCATGGATACAAATTTGCCCGAGATGTTTTGGAGCCATTGACTAATCATCATAATGAAAAAAGCTACCATTACAGATAAATCGCTACAGCTTGTTGCAAAAGCATGTGAGAGAGCATACAAATTATGACAGTATTTTCATGGCAAAACTCAATACTGAACCTGTTGATGTGACCTCAAAACATTGGTCCAACAGAACTGCAAGCTAACACATTCCTTCATTGTCAAATAAGGGTCTGGAAAGTAGAGGAAAAAGTGCAAAAATGCAGTTTTAAGTTCAAATGGGAGGAACACAGTTTACATTAACCGAAGTGGTAAGAGTTTAGCCCTGTTGCTTGACAGCCTGATGATATGATTGATTACAGGAATATTTTGGTAATAATTGAATGTTATGGTTAACTAAATGCATTGGAAGTTTCAGTCTTTTACACTAAAACTGATTTGGTCGACCTATTTGGATGGGATGATACACAATCGCATGCAGAGGCACTGAGTTGAGTGTGTAGGCCTATGGTTCCAGTATATTCTCTGGGCATGCTTACAGTTCACGTCCTATCAGGCTATAGACCAAATATAAAAAGTTGGCACTCGCTTTTTCATACTGTACCAATCCATTCATATTACAGTATTTACAAAAGTACCACGGAATACACATGTGATGAAGATTCCATGCAACACTGATTAGAGTGCATCCCAATGTTACACCGATGGTTTATGTCGGTACTGTAAAGAAACAGCTTGTGACAACTGAAGTATTGGCAGAGGTTCAAGTACCCATCCTTAACTCTACTAAAGAACAAGACTAAGAATGCCCTTACACCTGTCTGTGATCATTTAGGCTTTTTTTGCACAATGACATCAAATAATACTTGCCCACATATTCAGTTTTGGGGAAAAAAACTGTATAAAACATTTTAAACAAAGCAATCTTCACAAGATAAATCACCCCATAACAAAAAAGCATTACAAGTATGTATCTACAAATGTTCCAACTTCTCTAATGTATAAACATTCAAGTGTTAATTTGACTAGTGCTCTCACTGAAATGTGTTAACTGTCGAGGTATAAAACACAGCAGATACATAAGTATCCGTGCTTTTTCCGAAAGTAAGACAGATAGTCGGGGATACCTGAGGACTTCTTAACAATTGTAATAATATTGCATCCTTTTATAGAATTGATTCAGACTCATTGCAATCTGATCAGTTGGCTTCTTTAATGGCAAAAAGATCAGATAATGTGGCTATATTTCCAATAATTGATCTAACACTACTGTAATCCACGTCCATCTCGTTCTATTCAGTACCAATTTCAACAGTCTTCAAATACTGTGTGTAGTAACTCGTGAATGAAAAGAGAGCACACTTAACAGTCATATATTTGGGCACATTGTAGGCATTATTAATAATAAGAGTACCACCGTTAACGTGGCATTAAGGCAACTACTAAGTTAAATAAGCTATTCACAAATGATAGCTCAGAAGGGGATGTAAATATTATCAGCTGGACTTAAAACACAAGTTGGAAGGCGGCCGAGATGACCAGCTGCCAATGGATTTAATGACACAAATGAAGACTTCTAAGTGTGTTTCAATTGCAGTGGAGGTGTCTGGGCAGAAAAGTGGATCTAATTAAGCTACAGAAGAAAGAGCTAAGTAAGAATGAAGTGCTGTGAAGTCTTTACTCGGCCAGTTCAGCCAGCTCACTGACGGAGGACTGGACGTGGTTGGAGAGAGAGTTGGGAGCCAGGGTGGAGGATTGAGGGCCACCAGAGGGGACAGGGTCAGGCAGGGTCAGTGTTTCTGGGGCAGACTTCTTGCGTGGTCGGTCCTTGGGCAGAGAAAGAGACTCGGGGGCGTCCGTGCACATGGGGGTGGAGGGAGCACTGGCAGACCCCGTCAGAGCACAGGACGACAGAGAAGTCTCACTGATGGAGATGGACGGAGGAAACATCCCAATTTTCTGGTTGGTGGCCTCCTGTATGTTGCGCTCAAACTCTCGGACCTCATCCATCGTCATGTCTATAGTGGGGGAAAGGGAAGGTTTGAAAAAGGAGTGTCAATGTTTTTATTACAATAAGATATAAAAAAAAATGCAGAGTGAACAAAATTTTTCATGAAAAGAGAATCTGTTGAATTTTTATCTCTTGTTAGCTTCTGTAGTTACAAAATGCTATGGTTATTGATGTATTTATACTGTATGTCAGGACTCAGGAATAAGTCGGGAAAAAAGTTGGCCGGGGGCCGAAAGTATAACAGTTATCAGGTGACCTTATTTGTACTTTGTTTTGCTGCAACAGAATATATATATATATATTTTTTTTAACGTTTTTTTTACATTATAATATTTTTGATTAGTTTATTGTTTGGATTGAACCAAAACTCTTAAATATGAGGGATGCAATTGAAGACTTGTAGGCAAAGGATGTATTAAATATTTTGTTATTTGACTATTCTTAATTAATTTAATTTTGTGTTGGATATAAATACACATTGACACATTTCAATCAGGTTTTTAAGCTCTACATAGCACAGAGATTGCACTGCTCAGATTGCGGTGTTCCACAGGGCTCCATTTTAGGCCCTACCCTTTTTTTTTTGTTTAAGATGCCACTTGGAAATATTCTAAAGAAACACAATGACTTCTTTCATGCTTATGCTGATGACCTGTAGATCTACCTGCCTTTAAACCCAGCTCAGTGTCAATTACAACACTGCTAGATTGTCTCCAGGAGTAAAAACTTGGCTGGCCCAATTTTTTTTTCAATTCTCAATGAGAATAAAACTGAATTAGTTGTTTTTAGCTCGAGCCTCTATGTAGACCTGACTCATGTGCTCTCTGCTCTTGTCCATTCCTCTGCTAGAAACTTAGGAGCTATTTTTGATTGCACCTTCAGGATGGACAAGCAAGGAAAACTCAGTAATCAAAGCCAGCTTCTATCAGCTCTATCAGCTCGAGCAAAGTGGCCTATATCCCGCCTATTGATTTTGAGCGAGTTTTCCACTTTTTTTTATTTTATCTAGGTTAGATTATTGTAACTCGCTGTACAATGGCCTGGACCTCAGCTTATTTAAGCGCCTTCAGCAGGTGCAGAATGCTGCTGCTCGCTTACTCATAGGAACGGGTAAGAGAGAGCATATCACCCCGTGCTGGCCTCACTTCACTGGCTCCCTGTTACATTCAGGGTTGATTTTAAGATTCTGATGCTCCTTTTTAAATGTTTGAATGGTGGGGAGCTCTGTCTGCTCCCGTCAGATCAGTGAGGTCCGAAAACCAGCTTCTGTTGAATATACTCAGGTCTCGTTTAAAAATTGGAGGAGACCGGGCTTTTTCTGTTGCTGCCCTCAAACTGTGGAAAAGTCTACCTCTGTACATTAGAGTCTAAAGACACATTTCAACGCCTTGGCTTTTAACAACAAATGAGTTTTACCATTTTACTTTTTACATGTATGTGTTTTATGCTGTTTTATTATTATTTTTTATCTTTTGTGCCTCTGAAGGACTTTGGGCAGCTGGTGTTGTTGTAAATGCGTTATACAAAAAAAGCTGAGATTGACATTCAAAATATATTTTCACAGATAGAAAAGTGGCAACGTGATGGCAAAAAGACAAAAAATGGAATGACATACGCTTGCTTTGTCATGGCTCTCTATTTCATCCACTGAAGATGAATTTGCTGTGGATTGCTCTTCCTGTTCAAGGCAAACTTTAATGTTGGTTTGCTCGTGCATCTTTGTCTCGTAATCCCGCACATCATCCAAAGTCATATCTGGAAGAATGGGCAGGCGTGGAATAATGGTTGAAATGTTGGAAATCCTCAAACTTTTTGCAATTTAAGAAGAAGAAGAAGAGGAGGAGTGCGGAAACCAAGGTTACTCCATGCGTTAACAAGGTGTGGCAATGCAAAAGGACAGACCCAGACCACATACTAAGAAGGACATCCCAAGAAGGAAACGGGTGCGTAGTGAAGGTGCCCACTGTGCTCATAGAAGATTGAGGAGTCATTCGGGAAGAGAAAAAAACAGGACTAAGATATTATGATCTTGGCTGAGGCTCTTAAGATGCTAGAAGTTAAATAAAAAAAATGCTCTTCATTCCACTGAGGACATCATGCCCCTATGACTTTGCATATGGCTTAGATGTCAATTCTAAAGATGTATTTGTTGGAATATTTAGGAAAGAAAACCAGTATATGCCGACATGCTCGGTAAACAAGGTGTTAGATGCAGAGCAAGAAATGGAGTGATTGCATGCAGATTCAGATACTTTAACATGTTCATTTAAATGTGAACTTAAATCACAATCAATACTGGTACTTACCAATCCACTCGTCCACCCAAGCAAAGGCCTGCCGGTGTCCCAGGAGTAGGACATCCCTCACAAACTAAACAAGTGTAAAGGTTATGTTATGGCACCACATAATAAAGTAATAATGAAGTTTATTAATTATTCGACAAAAGCATTCATCTGACCTTGTGCACAAACTGCTCCACACGTGTCTGCAGACCCCACACCTCAAACTTCACGGTGACCAGTTTATATGAGCACATGATGGGCTCTTCCGTGTCCCTCCAACCCTCCTGAAGCATCCCTCGAGATGTTTTCTCTGATTTGAAGTAACGCAAATCCTACAACAGAGAGCAGGAATGTGTAGGTCACCATATTTATAGTCACTGATCACTTATCTGCACTGTTGAATGTCTATTTTGTGTACTTTTATGTACATGAACTGTATAAAGATGTTTTCTCATTCATGGCTTTACACCCATGTTTTACTTTTTTATAACTTGTCTGCATCATATACTAAAGCATACTAGCTAGTTTGTGACTTCCTGTTAAATACAATGGCAATAACAATAATTCTGACTTAGTCTCCATAGCTCAATTCAATTCAATGTATTCTTGTATAGCCCTAAATCACAACAGTAGCTATCTTGAAGGACTCAAAACCGTTGAATTCGCCAACACAGATCAGAGAATCAACAGTTCAACAAAATAAATGCAACGATAAAAACACAGAGAGCCATTGGTCCATAATGGGCATAGCTATTGAATTTATATTTATTTAAATAAATTATTAATTACATTAAACTCTGAATATAACCCATAAATGGATTAAGGGGGGAAAAAATTGAGGGATGGAATGGATGTATTGAATTAATTTGCAACAACTGGATGGAAAAAAAATCTAATCCAAAAACTGAGCATTTTAAATCAAGATATTGGTTCAACTGAGATACCATGTTAAAGGGATGAACCAGCAGGTGTCGCCAAACTTCACAGCCCTATGTCCTTAGGCATCAACAACTACAATACACTTGTCTAATGTTTGCTACGGGCATGAAATCCTGCAATTCTAAAGCCTCAACTTGCCTTCACCAGAACATCATAAAACGACAGTGTCCTTGTCATGTTTATGGTTTCCTTTTCATGCTCATCTCCCAACAACAACCATGATTACCTCAGATTCTTTGTAGTAGCGTTCAGCGATCTCGTCATACGCAATGTCAACAAAACAAATCTCTCGTTCTTGGTCCTTTAACTCTGTGTCAAAGATCTGCAAAAAACCAAAAGATTTATGTGTCAAATTATTTCGTTTTTAAAGTGATCCTCCTTAAAACCAGCAGAGGGCTCTCCACGTCCATTTATTCTATCTGGAAGCACCCCTAGTGGTCTGTCAGAGTGAAATACAGAACGTTACAATCTACTACAAAAGGCACGTTGCTTCATGTTTTCAGTACCCCGCAAAAGTATTTAAACCCCTGAGCTTTTCCAAAGGTTGTCTCCTTACAACCACAATGTTGTATTGAAATAATACGTGAAATAATAATACAATGTGACAGTGAGAGAAACAGAATGAATACATGACTTTATATATTTATTTTTTGACCTCATAACACTTTGGCCAAATCATTGAGGAACTGCTAAAGACAATACTTTAGCATGCCACACTTTTCTCATGTGCCATTAAGCTTGACAATTGTCTGATAGTTTGTGCTGTTTTTTTTTTTAACACAAAAATAACCAAGACATATCTTCATCTTTGTGGTCACAAAAAGCATGAACACTTTTGCAAGACACCGTACAGTATTGAACAGTGTGTAATGTGAATTCCACAGCGTCAAGGACATAACCCATGTGTGTTACAGTAAAGTCCGAGGCGCCTAGATTTATGACGCATTAACGGTTACATGCAGCCGGAGATAAGACATCAGATGTTTTTCAGTATAATGTGCGTTAAACTGAACACAGACAAAGAAAGAAAAAGCAATACGCTTGGAAATATGTACAGAGGTTAACATGAATGGGCTTATTGCTGCACGGGTCATTGATTTTCTGCTGACCTTGTCCAGACATCAGAATATAAACACCATCATTTACATGCAGACAATAGCTGATGGTAAATCAGGTAACAGCTCAACTCCAGTATAATGCATTTAAGAGGTGCGTATTTTGTACTTTAACGCAGAAGTATCACACAGTATTTTCCATTAAAATAATGACACTATCTACTTTGTTCTTCCATGTTTTAAACTGGGAGATAATATCTTAAGAAGAAAATGTATACAACATACGATATAGATATATATAAATAATGCTTTCTGCCTGTAACTCCCTGTGCTACTTTTGTTTCTGAATTTGAAAATTAAGCAACTAAGCCATATGATTGTAAAGAACAGAATTTCATCAACACTAATTCATGGGCAGTAATTTTGTCATAGGCAAAAAAACGATGTGAACGTGAGGTCACAGTGGTGAAATTACACAACAATTTCATAGAATCAACTGCAGGTATGTTATTTATGAGGGAACAATGTAGTTAAATGGTCCAAAGATATTTTTAAGTAGACTTTCATAATATGTTGCCTTAAAAAACGGACAAAAAACAAATATATCATGCTCATGTTACTGCCCCTTTTTCTACCCAATAGTTTCCCCTTATACTAGATCCTATGAGAAGTGATTGTTACACTGCTGAAGCAAAGTGCTGCCGGGTGTCACATGCCAGGACACATAAAGAGCCGCGAACGGAAAGAGAGTCGTGGGAGACAAGCAGCCGCACAAGTGAAGGAGGTAAACGCTGACAAAAGACAGATAAGACGTGACGGAGAGGAGAGCGAGGGGAAGTAAGTGTGTGCGTGTGCGTGTGCGCGTGCGTGTGCGCGTGTGCGTGTGTGTGTGTGTGTGTGAGATACTAGGTAACGATATACAAGAAAAACCACAGTCAACAATGTAGAAAAGGAAACACAACTGGCCACCACCAACAACTAAAAGGTGTTATGGACCAAGATGCAGATACAATCACACAATATTTGACAAAATGCTTTTTTCCCCAAAACTGAACATTGACAAAAATATCTTCTTATTGCTATGCTGCATGTTTTACCGAATGCAAAAAAAAAAAAAATCCCAAACGAGTTTAAATAAAGAGCTATTTGTATTTCTTTCAATACTGTACATTATTTCAAATTATACAAGCTAAAAATGCAATCAAACACACATAGATTATGATTACTGTTAATCAAACATGAATCAGACATTCCCCCACATTGAGATAAACATGCGCACACACACACACACAACACCGCACAAACTCACATGATTAAATAGTAATTGGGCTTGTTCACACTAAAGGGCACAAAAGTGTGACAAAAGGCCAAACATTTGATTTTAATAATGAGAAGATATTTTATGTTTTTCATGTATCCAAAAAACTCCTCTGTCCTTTAGAAGTTGCAAGAACATAACTGTTTTATACATTAGACAAGTTTCCTATAGCGGCCCTGATTTTTTTTTTTTCTCAAGTTTAATTTAGAAAATGGACAGAAACCATCATGTCCGTTACACATTTATCAAGGGTCATTTTGTTCTATTTAAATTTTTGTATATATATTTTTTTTACATCGAGTGATTTACTTATGTTGTGTTCGCCATGTTAATCTTGTGGGATTTCAAACAGAGGACATTTTATTTTCTATGTAACTGGCGTCACAGTAGAATGACCAAATCAGAGGCTGATTTGGTCGTTTAAAATGTCGCCAAAAATATGTTGGTCAATCTTTCCTTTTGATTTAATATCTCTTTGATGCGTCTGTGTTTGAAATCTTTTTTCCAATCTGTGATATTAATTTTAGTTTTTGAGTTATAACCTTTTTAAGTCAAGATACTTTAATTGACACTTTACTGTGAACACACTCAATTACAAACGAGTAACGCTTTGGCTTGTGTTGAGCTTTGGTGTGAACAGCTTAAACACTGAGTTACATGACGCGCATGGATCATATTTCACTGAAGTACATAAACTGTGAATACCTTTTAATTACGTGATGGTTTAATGAAATCATAATGATGTTTTGTTGTCTAGTCTACCTGCTCGTGGTGTCATCCAACAGTAATATTATTGAATCTATCACCTTGTCTTGTTGCTGATTATATGCGTCTATCAAAACATCACGGTGATTCACTGGCAGTCTGTCCCTTTCACTCCCCATCTGTGTTTTATGTGAATTATAGAAGAGACACTTGAGTAGGGCACCGAGAGAATCCCAGAGCCTCTGAGAGCAACTGGCAAAGCCCTGCCATTCTAATTTAACGTTATGTAAGCCATTGTAAAAACTAATGTGTTGGATTCTTGCCTAGATATAGTAAGAATAAGTGTGTTATAGTCTTGTGTGCACAGTTCTGTTTTTTTATGCTCACCATCAATGGCAGCCTTTCATTAGATGACTAATGGTCATATAAACTGCAGCGTGTAATAAAATATAGCCAACTGCCTAAATGAAATTAGTCTCTCCAACAAGTGGAGAAGCTTTTGGCAGCAGCCCAAAGCTCATGTATAGCTCTGGCTGTCTCACAGTCCGAGCTGTTACGAAAAGTCTCGTTGCCAAATGGTTTTACTCATGTAGCATCAGTGTTTTATTTAGTGCCATATGTCCGCCTCGGTCTGTTAGAAGAAGTATCGTGAAGATGTGCCTGCTTTAGATACAAATGAAAATGTATTCATTCTCATGTAGATACTTACATGGTCGTTGCTGCCTTTGTTGTCTTCATATTTGGTCTCTATGTGGATGGAAAACTTGGGTAAAAAGGAACACTGCAAAAAGGCAAAGAACCGGCAATGATTAAAGACCAATTAAATGCAGACAGTGAGACAAATCCTGCTAAGAAATATAAGGGTCTGCTTTTCGTTGAATGGACATAACAGTTACATTGTGTTACCAAATGTGTTGCCTTTTGTGTGATAGCAAGACAATGCAAATTTTCAACACTTGTGTAGGGTGACAAAGCATTTCACTGCAGTCAAAAAACAGTGATTCGCAAAGTCTACATGTAAAAATTGTTAGCTTTTTGGAATGATCAATTTTATTTTTATTTTTGCAGCTACTGGACACCTGAATTCCTTCAACAGGGATCAATAAAGTATCTATCCATCTATCTAAAATTGATTTAAATTGTAAAATGATCTTTACTCACTGTGTATTCTTCCATGGTAAGCAAAGATCCAGTTAATATGTAGACAAATGAAAAAACACAGGTTGAGTTAAAGCTATGCACTTAATATTCACATTATTCTTAGAATATAGTTCAAAAGTCCATTTACTTCTGTAATTCAACTTATAATGTGAATCTAATATATGATTTACATTATTTTGCGTAATTAATCTGAAGTAAAAATGTCTTATAATGTTGATAATTGGCTCCCAGCTTAGAAAAACCCCAAGTAAAACATTTTAGAAAATGTGAATATTTTGAAAATGGACAGTAAGAATAATAATCTAAAAATCTATATCATATAATGGAAATAAGTGAACTTTTGAAAAATATTCTGAAATATTCTTCATCTGTAGCATCAGTAAAGTATCCAGCAAATGAGACAAAAATACTCTAATACTACTGCCAGAGGTGACACTGACCTGTGATGGTGTAAGGGTAGTAGTTCCAGGCTTTCTCCGTCACATAAAAGATTTTGGGAATCACAGCTCGTGCCCAGCTGGGTAATTTACTGCAAACAGATCCAGAGGCAAAGATGAGAAAGAGGATATGACAAGTTTTGTTTGAGCTGATCAAATTCAATTCAATTGAGTTTGTTTTTGAACTGTTAAAGAAAAATCTGCACTAATGGAAGTGAGTAGGGTGGATTGACCCGTGCAGAGATGGCCCCAGGAGAGAGAGCTGATGCTTCACTACAGATGTTCAGCTTTGAGACACGATGATGGCTGGAAAATACTCTTTTGATACTATTCAAATACAAATACACGTGTCAGTGTAAGAGCAAAATTATCCAAATGTAAAAAAGGTTTGACATTTATTTATTTAACCAGGAAAGTCCCACTGAGATTTCAGAATCACTTTTTCAGGAGAGTTCTGAACCCAGAGAGCGGGGACAAGAGTGGTGTCAAGGAGAATGTTACGGGGGACTTTTGGACCTGTTTTTTTACAGGTAAGGGAAACCGGAACAAACGGGGAGAACATGCAGGTCGGGAGATGGAATCAAACAGACATTCTAGCCGTGAAGCACCAGCGCTAACCACTGCGCCACAGTGCTGCAGAGAAAACTAAATGATAAAATACAACTTTCCGACTTGCATCTGCCATATATTTATTTACATATATTTACTGAATAAAAAAGGCAGTCAATCCTATAGCTGCATTTTGTCTTTCACTCATAATTCCATAATTCAGTCATTCCAAAACCATAGCTTTTATGTCACTCATAGGAGCAATATCCGCTTCTATGGAGATCTGTTTCTTTCAGAGGTTTTGTGATTTGTTAGTCCTCTTTTTGAACTTTATAAATCCTATGTCAAACAAAGACGATGATAAAAGTTATATGGTATGGAATATTTTAAAATATCACACATGAAGTTTATCGAACAGCCGTAGATTTGCCCCGTTACGTCGCAGGGTACCACCAACTCATTACATACAAGCCTGGAATAATACGAATATCAATAAGCTGTAAACTTCAAGCTCTGCCTCGCTCTCGCTTGCTCTTGCTGGGTTTGACTGACGGGCCAAACAATTTATACGTCTGAACAGAAATGGTACGCGCAGCATGAAGTCGGAATAAAAGCAGCCCCAGAGTTCAGTGACGGGTCTTTCTCCTCCGATATTGCCATCTCTCCATCTCTGTCTTTCTCCCAACAAAAGATACTGACACCACCCACATGTCCATCTGCTGATTCCTGCGCTTGTTCCCTCCTTGTCCTTTTAAACATCTCTGCCAGGGCGCTGCTGTGATCAAACCCACGTTGCCAAATGCACAAGATAAGTGGGTGGCAGTGCAGACTTTTTCAACACAAAGTCGGTATAAAAAGTAGTACACGTGGTTATTGCGCACCAAGTCGTTTGAGTCACAAAATAATTATAAAATGAGTAGAAGGAATGGCCAAGAGGTTTTTTTTGTAGAAAGAATTAGCTTTGAGTTTGGCAAGCTGTGAGAGCATGTCCAGTCCCTGATGGTTGTTCAAATGAGAAGCATTCCCACAGACAGATGGGACGCACCAACGTGTGGCGGTTAGTCGCGCTGTATTTATTGCACTATAGCAATAGAAAAGCAAAGGGAAAAATGATTGATACGAGGAAAGGAGATATGAAGGAAGATTAAAAAAGCATGTACATTAATTTAACTGTTCATCTGTTTTCTTTTGCAAGGTTTTTGATTGGATGTGATCGAATCCTTCTGTGCACTAAAAATATCAATGTGAGCTGTGTATTACCATCCTCAAATATTTTAGTTCTTTGCAGAGCGGTTTCAAATTGATAGTAGGATATGTAAAATGTCTGTTTTTTCTTTAATTTATTGGAATTTAGGACAGTACATATTAATTATAGTACATAGTGTCGGCAAACAGTGTCAACATAAATATGCTGGACTTAGCACGGCAGCAGTGGCGGCTGGTGGAATTTTCTACTGGGGGGGCTATGAATATGATGACTAGATATATACCAGCAGTAAGTAAGTTTACACTGACTGTTGTGACTGAAGCCTCACACGAGAATGAAATATTTATCTTCCCAAACATAGCTAATTTGAGGGCATTTTGCATGTGGATACCAGTCTGCTCATGCTTCTTTGCCTTTTCTAAAAAGTGCTTCAGATCAGTCATACCTGTCTTGATCCATGCTGGGTCAGATCCTGATGTTTGAAACAAGAGGCATGGAAAGCAAAATAAAGCATTAGCCTCGCTACATGCTGCTAGCCAAGATTTGGCGCTGAACCAGGTCCTGGAAAAAGTACGAGTGTACCGTCTCCCCCTGTCGCTGGACTGCTGACTAATGGTAATATTTTGCTGATCAGGTCCAAGCTCTTTAACCTCAACCTTCTCCTGGTATGATCTTCTCTCAAACGGTATTGTTTTGAGTGATCTAACTGAATTATTCTTTTTCTCGTTCTCCATTTTGCGTCTCTTTACGTTCGTCTCAAACTCCCACAGCTTGACCTGTCAATCACTGTAAACGGACGTCACAGACAGTGACAGTACAGGTCGCGGGCGATCCCGCCCCCTCAGGGCGCACTTCTCCTGCGCCCCCAAATCGTCTTATCTCTTGCATTGAAGAGAGAGCTACTGCGCATGTACAACTTTTAACGAGAGTCCATAGACGGCTCAGGGCGCAATCTTTTGCGCCCTGAGGCGGAAATACGTCCTCAGTCCGACACAGACAACGCTGATGAGCTTAATCAATCCAACTCAGCATAAACTATAAAGTATTTCTTCCACATCTGAAATAAAACACACATAAATTTCGAAATATTTTAATGTTATTATTTTTTTTCAAGGTAACATGGCAAGTTGTGAGTGGTGGGGCGGCGCCCTAGCGCCCTCTATTGGCCGGCCGCCACTGCACGGTAGCTAAATTGCATCCTTTGTTCAAAAGCATGTAGAACATTGTGTGACGTAAAAAATTTAAATGAAAATATATACTAAAGAGTCCTACAGAAAAAGGGTTAACTTAATCCATAATTATTTTCCTCGTGGCTGCTGGGTGTCCAAATTCCTACAGATTCCTTGCTCCTTGTGCGCCACTGCAGAGCACAGTTTTGCTGAGTCACTATAATTGGCTTTGAGTCGAGTGAGTGCTGACGCAGGTATTTGTGCTCGAATGACCCTCCACATTATTACGTTCATGCTATTTTTTGCACCTTTCCTCTAAATCCTTTTGCTGTCACACATGGTTATATGTTCTTGATTCTTGATTTATGTTTCCAAGTAGGGATTGAACCATATGGACCAAATGCCATATCTCTATATTTATGCCAGACATCTCAAAACTAAAAAAATAAGTTTGAGTTTGGTGCAAACAAAGCTTTTTTTTTTTTTTTTTTTACTCCCACCCTCCTTTCTTGGTCATTGGTTGACTTCACAGCATGACATAAGGTTGGATGGCTGTAGAGGTGCATTCAATAGCAATAGTAACTAGAAACTTGCAATGGCTGAAGCCATTGCGATTGACTGCGGAACAGATCTAATGTGGAAATCTGCTAAAAAAAATCCTTGAAATCCTTTAAAAAGCCTTGAAACTGTTAAAATACTTGATAGATATTTGAAACTCCTGAAGTCCTTGAAATTGTTGAAACCTTTAAACTCCTGAAATCCTTGAAACTGTTGAAACATTGAAACTCCTGAAATCCTTGAAACTTTTTTAAACCTGGAAACTGTTGAAAGTGTGGAAACTCCTGAAATCCTTGAACCTCCTGATATCCTTGAAACTGGTTAAATTCTTAAACAGCTGAAATCCTTGAAACTACTGAATGTATTGAAAGTGTCCTTGAAACTGAAAAATCCCCTCACCGCTGAAACAATTTGGTTCCTGTAACTAAGGAAACCTGGTCTGTGGTCATTATCTGGTGGTGGTCTGAGTCTTCGTTTGGGTCTTGGTCTGGTGGTATAATGCAACCTATTAGGTTGCATTATACATGAAAAAACCCTATTAAGTTGCATTATACTGGTTTACATGAAAAAAACCCTATTAAGTTGCATTATACTGGTTAACATGAAAAAAACCCTATTAAGTTGCATTATACTGGTTTACATGGAAAAATCCCTATTAAGTTGCATAATACTGGTTTACATGGAAAAATCCCCATTAAGTTGCATTATACTGGTTTACATGAAAAAAACCCTATTAAGTTGCATTATACTGGTTTACATGGAAAAACCCCTATTAAGTTGCATTATACTGGTTTACATGTAAAAACCCCTATTAAGTTGCATTATACTGGTTTACATGTACAAATCCCTATTAAGTTGCTTTATACTGGTTTACATGTAAAAACCCCTATTAGGTTACATTATAGTGGTTTACATGTAAAAATCCTTATTAAGTTGCATTATACTGGTTTACATGTAAAAACCCCTATTAAGTTCCATTATACTGGTTTACATGTAAAAACCCCTATTAAGTTCCATTATACTGGTTTACATGTAAAAACCCTATTAAGTTGCATTATACTGGTTTACATGAAAAAAACCCTATTAAGTTGCATTATACTGGTTTACATGGAAAAATCCCTATTAAGTTGCATAATACTGGTTTACATGGAAAAATCCCCATTAAGTTGCATTATACTGGTTTACATGGAAAAATCCCTATTAAGTTGCATTATACTGGTTTACATGGAAAAATCCCTATTAAGTTGCATAATACTGGTTTACATGGAAAAATCCCCATTAAGTTGCATTATACTGGTTTACATGGAAAAATCCCCATTAAGTTGCATTATACTGGTTTACATGGAAAAATCCCTATTAAGTTGCATTGTACTGGTTTACATGGAAAAAACCCTATTAAGTTGCATTATACTGGTTTACATGGAAAAAAACCCTATTAAGTTGCATTATACTGGTTTACATGTAAAAACCCCTATTAAGTTGCATTATACTGGTTTACATGGAAAAATCCCCATTAAGTTGCATTATACTGGTTTACATGAAAAAAAACCCTATTAAGTTGCATTATACTGGTTTACATGAAAAAACCCTATTAAGTTGCATTATACTG